CATTACTTTTTGGTCCGACGGCATCGCTTTCCATTGCGATGAGTTATGTTTTGTCTTTGACTCAGAACTCTTTTTTCTGCTATTGGTACCCTACTTCGCCTCATGATTCTTATTTATAATTTTTTCTATTTACAATATTAATCTTTACAAAATTCTATTCTAAGTATAAAAATTCTAAAAATTATTCCTAATTTTCTTAAGTTAAAATCTTTCAATTTGTGATCTTATAAGATTTGATTTTTCTTTATTTAATCGTTCTGACCGGTTCTTTGTATTCTTCACTTAAGTATTTGGATATTTCACACTGTCCCAAGACCTATCACTCAAGTGTTGGGCTACTTCGCACTGTCCCAAGACCCTTTTCGCTCAGATTTCGGGACTCTTCGCACGTCGCAAGACCTCTTGGTACAGTCCCAAGGCTTTTCCGTCCTGTCCCAAGACCTTTCAGTACTGTCCCAAGATTTTTCCGCACCGTCCCAAGACTTTTTGGTAATGTCCCAAGACTTTTCTGTACTGTACCTCCCAAGACTTTTCGGTACTGTCCCAAGACTTTTCGGCACTGTCCCAAGGCTTCTTGGTACTGTCCCAAGATTTTTCTGCACTGTCCCAAGACTTTCCCTTACTGTCCCCAGACTTCTTGGTACCGTCCCAGGACTTCGTCACTTCAGTGTTGGGACACTTCACACTGTCCCAAGACCCCTTCTTTTTTAGTGTTGGGACAACCTGACTTCTTGTTCTTCGTTGTTGGGACTCTTGAACCACTATCCCTGGTACCACCACTTGAGCTCTAGTATGACAATTTCCCCAAAACCCACCCTTACTGGCCAAAAGTTTCAAATGCTAACCCCCCTGTATCTATCTCCCTTTGTTAATCTGATGCATGTTGAAATCCAACTTGTTCGCAGGTGTGTTGTGATCACCTGTTCGTTCAAAACCGATAATATTAGTACCGAAAACGTAAAAACTCAAACGAGAAAAAATTATAAAAACAGAAAGTTGAACCCACCTAAAATCAAAGGTGACCAATGTCGTCCTTTCGTAGAAAAAATGTCTGGTACCTGATTGTCACGTGTTTTCCTCCCCCCTACTAACGTTCTTATAGGGTACTTTCCTTCCGGGTTTCAAAAACTGTATCTCCGTTCCCCTCACCCGATCCTACCTTAATTCGATCTGAAATTTGGATATCCTCTCTCTGTAATTCACGCGTGTAGAATTATAATGTAACTAAATCGACGATATCGATTGATAGTTACTTTAACGTGTCCCCCTTTTTTACAATTTGCAACCGCCGACCTCTAACCTAACCAGTCCCCCTTCTAACCTCCCCCCTATTTAGCCCCCCTCGTAAGCCGAAAATTACATTAAGCGCTGGGTGCTAAACCTCTCGAGAGAAAACCGTAGAACCTGTTTTCAAGCTATGCTCAAATAAAAACGTTCCTCAAAACAGTGGAGTTCCACTTATCCAATTTTACACTTGTCTCCTATAATGTAATGTGGATTCTAACGATACCCGATAGACCAACCAGAACACCTCTGTGTGTCCCCCTCTGGTTGTTCTGATTCCGTGCTGGTTGTTTGCTTGGCTCGTCCAGCACCTCTCTCCAGCACCATTTTCCCACTTGGCTGGTCACCTCTTCCAGTCCAGTGTCCCTGTGGTTCGTCGATTGACCAAACAAAACACCCCTGTGTGCCTTCTCTGCTCGGTACCGTCGGTGCTGGATGTCCCCTTGTCGCGTCCAGCACTTGTCGGGTTTTCTTCTTGCGAACCACTTTCCTACTTGCTGGGTCACCTTTTCCAGTCAAGTCTCCTGATGGTCCAGCTAAGTTGCACGCTATCCGAAAACCCTTGACAACGCCCCACACTCGGGCACATTTTTAAATTGCTGAAATGATCGAAACGATCGGTCTTATGAAAACAGTATGGGTATAATATTTAATTAATATAAATGTTTGATCCAACTAATCTGGTGTCAAAGTTACTGTCATTTTTTGTTTTATGGTTTTTGTTACTTTTTCTATTTTTTTTTCGACTTTTGTTTCGCTTTTTGTCTTTTTGCTCGTTTCTTAGTCCCCCTAGTTACCCCCCCCCCACCCTTACTCGGTTAGCTAGGCCTCGTTCGGAAAGCGTACTAGGAAGTTTTCTCGATTTTCTTAAAAATCTATCACGGAACAACCGGAAAGTTTACACGTTCCCGCTGAACCGTACCACCGGTACTCTAGAATGGGTATGTAGAACGGAGCTGTGTCGAGTGGGTTCGACTCCGTAGTCATGATGTCGTTAAAACACCCATGAGCGCCATAAAAACACTATGTAACAGTCGCCTACTTAAGTCACATATGAGGTTAAAGAAAAATAGGCCCTATAACCATTGGCTCAAGAGTCAGGGACACTATCTCTTGTGTTTTTCTACCTCGAACGGTCGGAGCCAATTCGGTTCACTTGCGACATGAGACTAAAACCCTCGTTACAGCTTAAAGGCCACTACCAAAATACCCCCCCACTCTAGAAAATAAGAACGTCCCCATACTTAGGTCTCAAAATACCCAAAACACATGAACGCCGTTAAAAACAGGGTCGGAACAGTCCGTAAGGTTTTTTTTTATTAGACAGTGGAACTTTGATCCATTTCAGATGGATCAACCTAAAACTCTCCTTATCTCAACATAACAATTACAAAACACACTCAAGAAAACTAAATTGGGTACTCACATACCAGCACACTCGAGAATTGGAGTAACTAAACTAACTAGCGACTCTAGCATAATTGTAAAAACTTGAGAAGTTTGCTTTTAATAATTTCCAACAAAGGAAATGAGTTTCACTTGAGAAATAAAATTTTGGGTTGGATCATTGGGAGACTTCGGTTGTCCACCTTTCCACCGAAGGTTCACTCTGGTCCACTTCGAATAAATATACTCTTCTTTCGTAATCGTTCTGTCTCCTATTTCAGGATAAGACAGCTCTACTCTCGTGTGATTTTTATGTCTGGAAATTATGAATAGCAATTTCCCGCTGTTTTTTTCAACTACTTTCCCACAATTGCAATTCGGTTGTTCTGTTCTTGCGTTTCTGAGGTTCTCAGTTGTCGCAAGAAATTTGAGCATGACAGGCTCAATTCGAATTTTTGAAAAATTACATTCACCCCCAAAATTACGTCGTTCCCATTTCTCAAGGTCAAAATTTCAAATATGATCGACTGGCACACTCCAAAAAATTTTCTGAAGATAAGCTACGCCAGTTAATCGTGGAAAAATTGAAATCGTTGTAAATGATAATATCATCGCAATTTCTTGTCAGCTGATTTGTATGATTGAAAAGTCTTTTTGGGTCTTCACTTGTATACGCAGACTTACTATTTGCCGGAGAGTTATAGCAACATATAATCAAAATTTTCTTTTGATTGATATTAACGTAACAAGCAACTGCAGAACCGTTTGTGTCATAATCGAAAAAAGCTTGTTCGGAGTTATAGCTTGATTTAACGCATATCATGGTACCACCATGGGCTGTGGTTTTCAATGGAGATTTACGATTAGAGCGAAAACATTGGTATTCTGGTAAAAACAGCTCTGAATCCGTCTGTTCATTTTTTAACCAAGTCTCTGCTATGCAAACAAAATTATATGGGTTTGCTATTAAAAAGTTTTAAATTTCTTGACGTCTTGATATTTTAAACTGATTCCGGATATTGTAAAACATAGCTGAAATTTCGATTTTTGAATCGTTTAGTCTGTTGGAAATGTGAACTGGCCTGTTTTTCAAGTATAAAACGATTTTTCGTATCTCGATATCAGTGTACGCTGTTCCTTCGTTAAGTAGCTCTCTGCGTTATTCAATAATGATTGCTTTTTTGCATGCTCTTTTTTATTTAAAGATTTCGAAATAAAAATCGAGTATTTGTTTCCCATATACTCCGGTTCGTACATTTTTAAATTGGGGGCGCGTGCGAGTATTTTTTCTACTGTAAAAATGTCACGAAACTTTACAAGGATCTGCCTGGGTCTAGTTTTCCCAAGTTCTAATTTTCCGAGTCGCCGAAAAGGAAATTTCAATTGAGTTTAATCCCAAGTTTTCAAAAGCACTTTGTATCAGTTTTTGATCATGCTCAAAAACTTTTGAAAGATTAACCTTTTCTGTACTTTCATTTTGCGCCTCCTTATATTCAGGTATACGACTGAACCTTAGCTCATGGTCATAATCAATTTTCGTGTTAACAGCATCGCTACACTTAGCTACGGTTTGCTGAGAGAACTTCCTCCACCATGGTCCGAGTACTTTCCACTCTCTCTTTGAGCTCCGTGATATCCCTGCTCAATTCCTTTGTATCAATTGCATCAATTTGAGGGCTCTCTAGACAGCTGTTACATGTAAAGGTCACATTTGCCCTCTCCAAAAACTTGAACTCATCCTTCGAATATCCCATGCAAGTATTATGTGTCCATCTCTGACACCTCTCACATAAGATCCAGTTCTCCCCTTTCGACATGTTACATATGGTGCAGCACTCCTGCTGCTTCGATGCTAGTCGAGTTCTAACTGACGTTCCAGGCATAACGTTATATGAAACGATGCAATAGATGTTCATCCATTATCTATTTAATTAGTTAAACGCAATCAAGTCATATCTTAGTGTTAAACGCATTGTTTGCTTATTGGCGCCTTTTGAAACATTTAAGGGTCGGTCAGCCGAAAAGGGATCCCGTAAAATAGTAGCAAAAGGAGGATCTTTTGGGTCAGATGATGGGACCGTATTCTGAAGACAGGCGTACCCCCTTTTCCCCAAAATCTGCCCCTGATTTAAATACATCTACAAATTGTAGATCAAATCAAGTCATATCTTAGCGGTAAACGCATTGTTTGCTTAACAATTATTTTAGCCTCCTTTACTATGGTGCTTTCAGAAATTTCAATAATCTGATTGAGAAAGACTTGTATTACAATTTAGAAAATTGTGGAAATGAGAACTACTTGAAATTTTTAGATGAATTATTATTATTTTTAGTTTGTTATGTCTCTGAAACCAAAAGTTGTAAATTTTGAAGAAAAATGGAAGGAAGTGAGTCGAGTTGTTCATATTTTGATGAACAATAGTGAAAATTTATCGAGAAATGACTGGCTCGACAGTTTTTCTCTAGTCTATACGTTATGTACTGCCGCAGGCAGTGAAACTATGTTCGAAAGAACTTATTTCCAGACAAAAACTCTGATGGAGACGCATGTTGATCAGATCAAAGAAGAAATTCTGGAGGTAGTAAGATTTCACTTCAAGTTGGTTCTAGATTATCAGCAAAAATTCATCTTTAAATTTATTTGGCGAATCTTATTTCGAGTGTAACCAAACCAAATTGCTTCTCATCAGAATTTATATGAATTAAATTTTCTAGCAAATATTTGCAATCTACGATTTGAAAGGATTTAGCAGCTACATTTCAGTAGTGGTTAACACAAAAATCGGTCTCAATCTTAAATTTTATAAAAATTAGTTCTCGGTTTAGTGATAGGCTGTTATTTTCTTGATTCAACAGGACGTGTCGAAAGTTTTTTTCACCCAGCTTTTTTGTTGCATAATTTAAGTGAATCCAGGGTCAAGAATGAAGCGTGTTATGATGCTAACATTTAAAAAAGTTCAAAAAACGGAATGAGTTCAATACCGACATGCTTCACCTAATGTCTGGTTAATTAGGAGGGACCATTCGTTTAAGCCATACTAATGCATCTGTAACAAAAACGAAGCAGCAAATTTAGTCCAAGATCAAAGTATGATGACCAACCTCTAGAATAGCAACCTAACATTCTCTAGAATAGCTTTTTTGGAATAGCATTTTTCTTTGTCTGGAATCCCCGGATGATGAGTAATGCTTTCCTCAGTAATACAATGCTTAGTGTTGTTCTCACAAAAATTATTGTGTTTTGTTATGATTCATGTCTTATTTCGCTGAGTTTATACATCAGCCTTTTAATCTTTTCTGTTGAGCCTGGCGCTGCTCCTATGCTGGTAAAATTTAAAGGCATGAGCGAGCTATGCTCGACTTCGGTATTTGTTATTATTTCTATGGTTTTTTGCTCTCGTGGTACTTGGGGTCTGTAATTATTTTTGAGGCGTGACTTCGCAAGTGAGTTGAGGATTTTAAGATTAAAGAACGATCTGCTGAATCGCACATTATTGCTCGGTAAGAAAACAAGCGCAATTGTAACAACAAAAACCCGAGCCTCGGAAATTATAAAGTTCCGCAAAGGCCTAGAAAAGGAACGTTGAGGCCTTCTTTTTGTTATCTCCAAAGACGTCCCCTATGAAACTACCACCTCTTCTCTCTCTCATCCCTTAAGTCACAAACAATAAACATAAAAAGCAAAGACGGCAAATTTCAGTCACGAACATACGCAATTATACCGAGATTCTTGTGCCCCCAGTGCTTCGCCGCCTTACTTAACCACCCATTCGTCGACTCGAGTGGACTTATATCAGAGACCTGAACGCTCACACTTCCCTTTGGAAACCCCGAATTCCAGAAGCTGACCGTGGTGCTACCTTTCCTTATGAAATAACATCCTCCTCCCTCCCCCGTCCCACTAAACACTGAATACCAACTAACCCTGCTGGCCTACCAAACTTGCTTGCTTATATCAATAAGCATCGTCCCCCAACATATCTCTCGCCCCACAACCACTATTTCTCCTGCTACTGACCCAGGCCACCTATCTTTTATTCAATCCACTAACTCAAACCCTGGGACTCATCGTACAGTCACCATCACAAGTTTCTTCAATAAGAGGACTGTTCAATAAGAGGTCTAATTTTCAGTCAAAACTGTTTGAAGGCGGAAGACACTCGAAATATCAACTAAGTAAGTGATGTTGAGTTTTGTTTTGGTCTCAATTAGCAAATAAATGCGCATATTCCGAGTCAGAATTTAGGTATAAGAAATAAACTAACAATTAATGTGCTACTACAGTGAATTCAAGATCACTAAAAAAACCTAGCGAGGAGTTAGAAGCGCTTGTATACAGACTTGAGTCGCCTCCGAACATTATAATTGTAACAGAAACTTGGCTAGATAAAACTGACAAAGTATTCTCATATACAATGGCTGGATTTAACTATGTCTCCAAACCGCGACCTTCCCTTGGAGGAGACATTCTTTTTCATTGTGACAATGATGTGAATATTATACAAGAATTAAATGCATCTATTAACGAAAGATTAATGTTAGAACAGGATAAAAGGTATAAAAAGTAAGGGGGTTGATAAATTAGACGATAAGCAAATTAGACGGAGGTACTTAAAAGGAAATTAGACGGTTTTGCAAAACTGCAATTGTGAGAAAATAGAAGAAAGTGAGAGAAATTAACTTTGTTTGCACACAAATTGCGTCAGAAAAATCAAATTGTTTGTAGAAAACAGTTCAATTTCGGTGGCCAAAAACTTTACAAGTCAATCATGCATAATTTATTCAATTCAAAACTCTCCTGTAATATTCAGATTTGACATTTTATGTTCATTTAAACTAATTGTTTTGATAGGTATTGACATTTCATGTTCTTTTTGTATTTGTGAAACTTGACTCTTAAGAAAAAATTTTGTTGGCCTTTTCCCTTTCGTCTAAAATGCCAGATCTGTAAAAAATAAATTCCGTCTAATTTCATTTTTGTAGCATCCGTCTAATTTGCTTATCGTCTAATTTCCTAGGCCCCAAAAAGTAAGCGTACATCTCACTCCTAAAGTGAAAAGTTACAGTTCATTGAAAATTTAGATGAAACGCTAGAATATTTACAATCATTTAAAGGTCCAGTTTTTATATCTGAGATATTAATATAGACACACCCAAGTTAAACAGAGCAACGTAAAGATATTTTAGATGCAATCCAGTCGAATGAATTTGAAATATTTAGCAACTTACCAACCAGAATATCAGAAATTACTTAATCTGGCTTGGATCGTTTTTTTAGTTAATTCCTTGCAAGGATGCAAGATAGAACTACTACCAGATAAGATAACATTCGAAATCATAAAAATAGCAATTGTATAAGCGAAATGAACAGCAATAATGGTGTTTTGGAAGAAGCGTCGGAAAAAATTGTAACAGTTTTTTCGCAAATATAGTTTAAATATACCAAAAGAAAACTTAAAAATCAGAATTCCTGAACCCTTAATGTAAATTTATTTATACCCAGCCACTGAAAATGAAGTCATCGATATAATTTCAAAAATAAAAAAATAAATAGTCTACAGGTGTAGAGGAAATAAGTAATAAAATGTTCAAATCATGCTGCGAGACAACATCATTAGTAATACAAATAATTATCAATGACTCAGTTAACCAAGATTTTTTCCTTCAGAACTTACAAAGTAAAGATTTTACCCATGCATAACGAAGGTTCTTAAAGTGAAATGAATAACTATCGGCCTATTGCGCTGCTGCCCTCAATAAGTAAGTTATGTTTAATAGAATATTTGAATATCTTGAAAATTTAGATTCATTCATAACAAACATCTCGGCTATAGGATAAGCACAGTAAAATTGATGCCATTGCATAAATCACTGGAAAAAATGCGAAAATCCAATCAGATATTTCAATCCTAGCATTTTTCTCAAGCTTAAAAAGGCATTTGATACAATAGATCATAGTATCTTAATGGTAAAGCTTCCATACTACGGAATAAGCAATACCTGCTATAATTGGATAAATAGCTATCTAACAAGCTGCAAGTTATGTGTTCAAATAAATAGTATTTGTTCTGATTATCAAAAGGTGACAAGTTGAGTACCCCAAGGTTCAAATTGTTTCAATATTAGGTCCATTTCTTGTTTTCATTTATGTTAATGAACGATTAAATGTATGCAAAAACTCAGAAATTAATTTCAGATGCCACCACGGTCTTGTGCCTTGACAGTTCTATAGAAATTTCAAGTGACGATTTTTATGCAGTAGCACGATGGCTCTCAGCAAATAAACTCCCTAAACATGGAAAAAACCATTCAATTAAATATAACAAAAAGAAGCGTTTCTGCCAATACCATCTCTTTTCAAAATAAAAACTTGTCATCGGAGTTGTTATGGAAATATTCGGGAGTGAACAGAGATCATATTTTAAATTCAGTTGTACACATTGACTACGTCAGAACCAAATTGCGCAAACAGTGTAGAATAGCAGCAAAAATTGTTTCAAAGCCATTTCGTGTAGTCTTGGAACGTAGTTCAGACTCTTATTCAAATCGTGATAAGTCTTGATTTTTTGCCTGGAAAAGTCCTAAATTTTGTTCACGATCAAATTTAATTTTTCGTAGCTTGGCTTGATTTTATAAGTTCACTTCATTTTTTATAGTTCAAGGCAAACTTCAATATCGAACTGCAAAAGTATAAAGGTCACGAAAAACTTGATCAGTTTCTAGTTTCGAAAGTGGGTTTCACTTTTTAGGCATCGCAGTGGAATTAAAATTTACTTTCTGAAAATAAATTTAAAGAGTTGTAAGGCCATCTTTTTTTTCGTTTGAGTTTTTTTTCACAAAACGAGGCTGTTTTGTTCTTCCTGTTTGCTGGCTTCCATTGACTCTTTTCAATTTGTCTCTTGGCTACGTTTGTTTCTTTTCGCAAGAAAGCAAAATATAAACTTTTCTCTTAAAACTAGGCTTTCTTGATTATTCTTGTTAATTTTAAGATATATGCCAGTACACCGGCCTAAAATTTTTTTTCTATTTTCTTCAATATTATTTTTGTTTGATTTGAGTTTTTGAACTGAACCTTCATGCATTATAGGCGTTGGATAATGGCTAGATTGGATAAACTTTCCGCATTGAAAGTTTTTTCAATATCCATAATGTTTTATCTAAATTCTTGCTCATCCTTTCGTTTTGCGAGTGATGCGAAGCCGGCTTCGTCTGTTTTTTATTATTAAAATGAAGCTTCTGGATGGGCAAACCAGTCAACCATATTTAAACTAAATTTCGATTGTGATATTTAGTACTTTATGCAATATAGGCGTTGGATAATGGCTAGATTGTATTAACTTTCCGTATTGAAAGTTTTTTCAAATCTATAATGTTTTATCTAAATTCTTGCTCATCCTTTCGTTTTGCGAGTGATGCGAAACCTGCTTCTTCTGTTTTTTATTATTAAAATCAAGCTTCTAGATGGGCAAAACTGTTAACCGACTTTGACCTAAATATCTATTGTGATTTGTGGTACAAAAATTTAATAAATACAATAAGTACAAATCAGGTTCGAAAATTTTTTATGCGTAATCATTTTGAAGTTCAAATTGAATACCAGGGTTGAGTCTGTTCAGGGTTAAGACGTTAATTTAACCCAAAGTTGATCATTTTCAAGACTGCAATATGCACTTTGGTTGATCTTTTATACACTTGCGAGATCAAAAGCCTGTCCTTATTTTTTTCAGTATGAATGAAATTGAAATTAGTTTTTCCGTAAAAGTTGAATTTTTGGACTTTTGTTTGTCTAGTTATGTTTTGCCGGGTTAGTTGCCACATCACGGATATTTTTTGAGTTGTTGGCAATTTACATTGTGTTAGGGCTGTTGATTTACTCCTGTAATTTGCACTCTAATAATGTTGACTTAGTATGTTATCTTTGTTGACTTTTTTCGCTTAAAAGTTTTTCGAACTAAATGATTTGAGCTTATATTTTATCGGTTTATGCAACTTAATTTGTGTCGCTTGAAGGACAGAAATTGATTATTGTTTTCAAAATGATTCAGGCTGTTCGTCGTGTAAAACTTCAAATTTTTAAAACTTAATCGATCAAAATGACTTTTTGAAAAGATTTTTCTGAAGCGTTTCAGTTTTCGGCTCAATGAGTGTCTGCATACGTTTTGTCGGCTTAGTGGCCACTTTGCGAATACTAACATTATTTGATGCTGGTAGGTGTGGTTCTTGACTATTTTAATTATATATTTTTTTCTGCTGAATTTTTTCCGTTTTATTTTGTGTTTGCTTCGGTAGTTATGAGATTTTTTGATGCAAAAATCAAGAGGAAAATTGTTATGAACAAATATGAAAATTTGTTGATAAGATTTTTTTAAAAATTATTAACCCAAAATATTGCTTTTCAATTCAAAATTTTGGTTTCTTGGCTCTAAATTAAAACGGTTTTCAACCTGCGATCATTTTTTGTAACGCTAAGGGATTTGAAAACTGCAAATTTGCTCTATTCTAAAAATTTGCTCTATTGGTTCTGATATTCCGTCCAATTGATAAGCTTATATTTGCGGAATATATCATTTTGGACTAAACAGTGTGGTGGGGGGGGGAACAATTTCTATGACAAAAGCTTTTAAAAAAAATTCCTATGTCAAAATACAATCAGAAAGTTCAGGGTTTTACTCCAATACGAGCAGTTCTGTTTAAAATAATTTGAGAGAGTCTGGCTAACGAAATGACTTTTCAACTAATAAGCTATGGAAGGTTTTTCTGCAAAATTTTCGTTTTATTCAAAAATAGGAGCAGTAGTTTGATTCATCTTTTTTTTCTGATTCGGTCGTTTTCGGAAGTTTGATTCGGGCGTTTTTTTCAAGAAAATTTCTAGTTTCGAAACAGGAAATTAATTTTCAGATTTCCCAGCAAAAAATTAACGGTTGATACAGTTTTCTCAAATTGAGTTAATTTATCAAAAAGGTGCCAATCATAAATTCTTCTAGAAATTCAAAAAGTTTAAAGGGCATCTAATTTTTGTCTTTGAAGTTCGAAAGATTTTTTCATGATAGTAAGTATTTTTTTCTGTTTGTTTGCGTGTCTTGACTCTTTGCCAACTGTATGTTGACTATTTTGTCAAAAGTTGTTAACAATGAAAGCTCCCTGAGTTTTGAGGTGGTATAAATTGTGAAACTCAAAATTATGGAAAATTTTTTTGAAATAAATCAGGCTTTTTTAGAGAAATTTCGCCAAATGCTTGAGTAAAATTCTGTTCATTATATTTCATGCTAGTGCTTCTAATAGTGAATTATTAGTCATAGCAGTTTCTGCCCTGCTAATGGTTCATCGTTGCATCTTAGCTAAGGCGCAATATTGTTTTTCCAGATTCTGACCATTCTCTCTTCAAACTTTTCAATTTCAAATTAAAAGCGGTTTTTAAAATGACTTTGTGATACTTTTGTCGTAAGTTTTGGTTTTTTTTACAAGCTTGCGTTTATGATATTTTACGAGTTGACTTCATTCAACCTACATTTTAAAAATAAGTGCTCGACGAAAGTACGGAATTTCAATATCTGTGTGCTTCTCTGGTTCTAATTCTATTTGGCAATTAAATAGCCTGTGTTTCATCCGCTTTAATTATGGCCGGTCGTTGGACGACTTATAGGTCGTAGGGCGTAGTTGTGGAGACATTAGGCTCATACTCTGGAAATTGAGAATTTGAATCTTGGAGGTGGAAATTGTAAAATTTTTCAAAGCTTATATACTTATTTCTTTTATTGTATAGCTTCCTTTTTCCTTGTGTTTGAAAAGTGCAGCTTTTCTTCAGTGTTCAAGTTTAAATTTGATATAATGAATTGAATTTTTGTTAAATTTTCATCGTCCCACTGTTGCATAAAAACGGCGATGTTTGTAGTTCCACTAGTGTATTTTTTTGGTTTTCACATACAAATTTAGCTCACAATTTTTCAACTGACTGAATGTCTAGATAGATGAATGGGTTGTCGGTTTTGTGTAGGCAGAAGACAAACTGTCAATGTACCAAGATAAATGGGACAAGTTCTACAGAGGATCTCAATATGTGAACCAATTCTACACCTACATGAACAAACAGCACATCCACCCAAACAGAAACCCTGCCACAGAGTCCAGATATGGAATAGAGTACAATCGAGAGAAACCCAACAAAGGTAATTCATAATCAACCATAATTATTTGACCAGTTGTGGCCACGTCATGGTTGTGTTAGTCATAGATCGATACAAATTTAAGAAATTCAGCGGCACCAAGAAATCGGCAACTGTTTTTATGCTGTCTCCGTTTTCCTTGAAGTAGTTTTAGAAAAGTCAAAATGAGGCTAACACGAAGGCACAAACTTTGAAATTGAGTTTAGGGATATTTTTTTCAAAGGAAAAATAATGGTGCTATTTTATCTATTTTTGACATATTTGCATCGCCAAAACATTTCCCGGGCACTTTGAATATTTTTTTAATTTGGGGAATCAAGTCAAGAGGAATCATAATGCATATTATAGTAAGAGCAGTTCAACATAGAAAAGGGAAATTAAACATGTTTCGAAACATGTTTGCTAAAGAAAGAAATGGTTATCAGTTTTCTTCAAAAATGGTCGTTTTTTAATCCATTCTTTGTTACTAATTTTGCTTGGAGTGAATAGTCGGAAAATGTACTGTTACCCGCTTATTTACAGGGTATTCGTGTTTTATTTTCTAACTCACCATCAAGTGATGTTGAAAAGATATCATGATGATGATGGGGTTCTTTTCTGTTAATAGTCTGTTAATGGATCATAGTTTTAAATCTGATTGGTTGAAATTAAGCCCAAAAAAGTTAAATCTGAGTTAGCATTAAAAAAAGCTCTATTAACAACAAGGTAAATTTGCGTCGTGTAACCGAAAAGACCCGATGATCGTTCATGGTGGAGATATGTATAGGCTTTCATCTCTGTATTGTTTCTTTCTTTTTATTGTTATTATAACATCTGTATTGCATTTTTTATTGTTATTATAAAGGCTTTACATCAAAAAATGAAGGGATTACTCCCAGCAAATATGGAATGTGACGACAGTTAGAAAGTGAATTGTCTGCAGTTGTTGCAGTGGCAGAGAACTAACCAGGTGCAGGACTTTTTGATATGAAAGTTGACATGTGTGTTGTACTAGAGATAGGCGAGATGGCGTTGGACGTGTGGCGCCACAGACTGTTGGAGACAGTGTCTAGCCAGATCATAGGAATACTCATGGAGAGGATCAAGAGTGAGAGGGAGGGCAATATGCAGAGGGAGTCCATGGTAAGGGATGTGATACAGTCATTCGTCCTAGTCGACTCCTATCTAGCTGAGAAGTTCCATCTCGGCACATACCAGACTTACGTGGAAAAGAGGTAGACTCTATTTTTTTGTTTCCATTGAGCGGTCGGATCAAATTTGAACAATTTTCATATTTCGAGGACTGTCTTTTTGATCATACTGATGAAATAAAATTGAACATTTTTCATGTTACGAGGAATCAGTGTTAATTGCGCTGAGTATATTCATTCGTTCGCGGAGTGATGTTTTAACTAGGTTTTGCAGCAGCGAAGCGCTTCATCTTTGTGACTTGAAAATGCATTGTTGATATATATGCACGTCTAGTTTCGATCTGGAATTCGTGTTATGTTTCAAAGCGTGCTTTAAAAATTCAACGCCTTAATATCCCTTTAATGGAAAATATTTTTTTAAACTGTTTCAACTATTTTACTGTTAATAATTTTTTGTTATTGTATGTTTTATTTTTGGAATGTCTTCATTACGATTTAGTTTAACTTGAAGGTACTTGGAGGAAGCGGAGGAGTTTTACAGAGAAGATGCGAACAAACTACTGTCCACTCATTCCTGCTCGGAGTACATGGTGGTGGTGCTAGACAGACTCTCGGACGAGCAGCGCCGATGTCAGAAGTACTTACACAAGTCCTCGGTGGTCTTGGTTTTAGAACGCCTCAGTGCTCAGATGGTCAAAGCACACCTCACTTTTCTACAGTCTGAGATTAGTGATGTGTTGAAAAACGAAAGATGTTCGGACCTGAGAAATATGTACAAGCTATTCAAACCTGACAAATCGGCCATTGAGCCTCTGAATGAAGCGTTCTACCAGTTTGTAAAAGAAAGGGGACTCGATGAGTTGAAAACTTTACTGCAAAGTGGCCAAGAACAGAACGATGCTTGGCTGGCGAAGAACTTCGTAGAGTCTGTTCTTAAAGTACACTCACATTTCTCAGCCCTAATCAAGGAGTACCTAGATTCAGACCAGCAGTTTTCATCGTCACTGGACAAGGCTTTCATGGTTATTGTGAACTTTAAAGACGAAAATTCAAAGCAGTCTAGATCAAGTGAGTTGCTGGCTAAGTACTGTGACTTTCTTCTGAAAAGAAACAAAATATCAGAGTGTGAAGTTGATGAGAAGTTGGCGATGGCAGTGACTGTGCTCAAGTATATCGAGGAGCCAGACATGTTCCAGAAGTTCTACCAGAGGAATCTGGCCAGAAGACTCATTCAGAACCTGTCCATTTCCATGGATACTGAGGAGTACATGATTAAACAACTCAAGGTGGGTTCATAACTTCCTTGGTTCTGTTGCTAGTTTCCATTCCCGCGTAAATTAGCTTATAACAATTGTCTAAAAATTGTTAATTTGGGGATTTCATGAAAGAAAATTTGTTTCGAATTGTTTTTTTATCATACCGACATGTTTATTGTAATTTATAACAGCAAAGCTATTTTAGAATAGTCTTAAAAGAACTAAAACTTGAAAACTCGAAGAATAATTATTCAAATAAACTCTTGGGGTGAAATTTGCTGAAACTTGTTGCACATTCATTTTTCAATATTTCATGTCTCTCCGGTTTTCATGATAGCTGATTTGGCTTTGGCAATATTTTGAATAAATAAATGAAGTGATTAGGAGAAACAGATAAAGATGTGCAACAATGTACAAACTGCTAACTGCAGATGTGCAACTGCTAACTGCAGATCTGCAACATTGTACAAACGATCTTCAACTCACATTCTGCTCTTTGATGAGCGTATTCTTAATCCCATAGTTTTTCTGGATTGAAAAGCTTGCAGTGATTTGGTCCGTTTGTTTAGAATGCGTGTGGCTTTGAGTTTATCAACAAACTCAACAGGATGTTTACTGACATTGGCATCAGCTCAGATCTGAATCAGAAGTTCGCAGACTATCTCACCCAGAAGCAGCTCACAGCTCTCACTCCTTTCCACATCCATGTATTATCCGCAGGCTTCTGGCCCCTCAACCAGACTCCGGCTATTTCTGTGCGGATTCCAGAAGATATCCAGAAATTTGTGAACCTGTTCAAAGAATTCTATGACGATAAATTCACTGGCCGGAGGTTATTTTGGCTCCACCATCTGAGCTCTGGCGACATAACCATGCGAGGCTTCAAGAAGACATACATTGTTAATATGTCCACTTATCAGTTCGCGGTGCTGAGTCTGTTCAACCGCAACAGCGCCCTCACAGCCGGCGAAATAGGACTGGCCACAGACATCTCACACGAGAATATACAGAAAGTGGTGGACTCCATGAGCACAGCAGGTAAGAGAAGTAAAGCAAAAAATGTATATATTTTTTTAAATTCTAAAAAAATTCCATCTAGAAATCTGAAATCTGATTAGATCGATTTTTTGGGCGCCTTCAGAAAAATTTTATGTTTGTTTCACGCATGGGTTTATATACTCTTTGGCGTAATTTTTAGCTGTTTATAGTTGTGTGTGCATTTTGGGCTGATAATTATACTTCGGCTGGTTTATTCACGCTCTAAGTAATGAATCGATTTTTTCGTTTCAGGTGCCAAAATATTGTCAGTGACGTCACCTAATAATGAGTTCACGGAAGCATCTGTAGTTCGCATCAACGAAGACTTCAGCAACAAACTAGTCAAGTTCAAACTGAGTTTGGCGATTCAGAGAGAGACGGAAAAGGAGATCCAACATGCACGGAGTTCAGTCGAGGAGGACAGACGCATGTTCCTCCAGGCGGCAATTGTGAGAATCATGAAGAGTCGCAAGACGATGAAACACAATGAGTTGGTCCAGGAGGTGGTGAAACAATCGGCTGGAAGATTCCAGCCCAACTTCGCAAACATCAAACGAGCAGTTGAGGGTTTGATTGAGAAAGCATATTTGGAAAGGAGTTCAACTATCAATGATGTTTACGAATACGTAGCATAGTGCCCCCGCTCCTCCATTTTAGCTACCAGCCGTTTTGATTGATTAACTATGTGTAAATGCGTCTGCCACCATCTGGCATTAGGTAAATTAGCAAATTATTCTCCTCTTCTCTTACCGTATGCAATAGTTTATGTCAATTCTGACTTTTTTGTGAAATTATCAAGCCAAATTTTAAGGTTTTGAATCGAAGAGTTTTTATTTTACCTCTTAAGTATTCCCGAGGAAAGCTGAATGAGAAAATAAAATTTACTCTCTAAATTAGACAATTTCATTAATGATACCATTTCGTCTTTTCGCGTGTATTTAAAAATAAAGCGCCCAAAGCAATTTTCGTGACTTTGATTAAAGCAAATCTGCGCAAAAATAACAGAAATTTAAGCTCTAAGGAAAAAATATTTGTCAGGCACAAGTTTTTGTTGCTTCAATTACTATATTTTGATACAATGATGTAACAATTTGATTGGACCTGAAATGTGCTGTTTCAAGTGTCGATGAAAGAAGCGATTTTTGTTTTATCTTGTAATTTTCTTTTAAAAACTTCTCGTTCATACTAATTTTTTTGTTTGAAGGGGTTGGCTTTTGTAGCTTATTTTTCTAAATATTTTTTTACGAGGAGAAATAAATACGCCATAACTAGCAAAAAGGGAAAAGATGCAAAAGTTTCTGTTTTTCATTTTTGCTTTGCAGTTTAAGAGCTTCTTCGGCTTTTTTTGCCTGTGATTTTGAAGTGCAGCCTTACCTTTGTGTTTATACATGCAAAGCTGGTGTTATGAAATTATTTGTGGCTGTTGGTTGCTTTCTAAGGCAATTCATTTGCCAAACATTAAGAAAATTGCGCTTTCTATGATCATCATAAATGTTTCTGGAAGTACAAAGAACTTCAAATTGATTTCTTATTTTTTAAAATTTCACTTCATTTCTGAAATTATCTGAATATCTCTGAAATTAATTTTACCTTTTTTATTCAAAGGAGGCTGTTGTTAAGGATTCACTAAAACGTAGTGAAGACTCTAATATAGTGAAGACTTATACTCTTCAGGAAAAAGTCATAAATTGCTTAAATAAATACAGATGTGCATGCATACATATTAATGCATTTATGAATGCACGTAGGTATAAATGCACTTTTCGAGTTCAATTCAAATTCATCTGCTAAAAGTAGGTAAATTTCACTTTCAAAAAAGAACGTGGAAATGGCGCAAAAAAACGTGAAACGTGAACTACTTCTAGTTTCGAAAGTGGCTTTAAATTTTGAGATTTACCAGTGGAATCGGAATTTTACCTATTGATCCAGTTTTCTCAATTGAGTAAATTTTGTCTAAGCAGTGTCGATCATAAATTCGTCCCGAAATTCAAAGAGCTTCAGGGCCATATATTTTGGGTAGCAGGGCAATCTACCCCATTCCAATCTACCTTATACCCTTCTACCTCTTCCATTCTACCCTATGTACCAATTTACCCTATGCCAATCTACCCTAAGCTTAATTTACGACAGAATGATAACAGCAAAATAGTGATCGCTGCAGTTGTTGTTAATTGCCCACGAGTTAGGGTCGAGATGTGCCGCCTACCAGTAGTGGTCTCGACGGACATCCCCGCCTGTCTGCAAATGGCCCAACTACAACCTCTCATTAAGAGAGGGGAGCGCAGATTGATCGCAGCAGTCGCGCCAAGGTGCTGCGAGCTTGCCATCAGAGTGTAGGACTATACGATAATAAGAACCGGTTCTCGCGTCGACGCGTGCGTAGCGCGCCCACAGGCTATCTTAAACCGAGGTAGTCAGCTCAGTTATCTCCGAGCAATTGAACTTTTTGTAGAACATAGAGTAGATTGGCATAGGCTAGATTGGCATAGGTACATAAAGGGTAGATTGGCATAGGCTAGATTGGAACACAAATATTGGAATATCTACGTTTCTCAGTTTCTGTCTTTTTATGTTTGCTGAAATATCTTATCATTAGCGCTTCTCTCATTTTACTCATTACTTTTATTTGCTAAAAAAAATGATTAGAATAGGATATGTAGAAAAAGTCTGAATTGGATGCACATTTTAATTTTCATTAGCGCTTTTAATGTTCTGTCATCGGCACTCAATTTTTCAATCGAGCACACTTTTTGATATGACGATGAAAAGTGATTCTTCTTTTTTCAGGTTGCCATGTAAATAGACTAGCGAGGCCTTTAGACAATTACTATTGCAATATCTGTCACATATTTAATTTTAATTCAAATCTTAGCTAGTTTCATTCTTTTACAATAGATTTTTAGTTTTCTTATTTGCTTCATTAAATAGTTTATTTTTGTGGATTTAAAAAGTTGTTTGATTGTAAAAAGTAGCTTAGTATTGATTAAAACACGTAAAAATGTCAATTTTTGGCAAAGACCGTCAGTTCATGTCAGACTTGGAGCTTGAAGAAGCGAATTCGTCTCTTCTGAATGACTCAAGTAATAGACATGATCGCACAAATAAAACACAGCAGCAGCTGAGAAATACACAGCCATCACTGTATAATAAAAACGCAAACAAACAACAGAGAAATAGCAATACCATTACAAACTCAAACGGCAATAGTACGCAAAACCAACAGCGTGATCTTTACAACAATACTGGTAAAAGTAGTAGTAATACAGCATCTAATGCGAACCAAAATAGCCGACAGAATCTATCACAAGCAAGAGATACGAGAGAAGTTAACGCGACAGGGGGTCCAATTGTAGACAACCGAAGAGAAAGTCAAGACTCGACCAGAGACCGAGAGTTCAACGACATCTTCAGCCAGCTTGGGCAGAACAACTCAAGTAGGAATCGAAGAAAGGAGAGTTCAAGTGATCCAAGTAGAAGACAGCCGAACGGGTCTCAAGGAGCATCTAGACACAGTCCAGGTGAGTGGCACTGGTACAACTACAACTACTGACATTAATGAGTTCCTAGAAAGTGCGGTGTTACATTAAAATACGTGTTACAATTGGGAGTGACATGCAATTATGAGAGACAAGCCAAATAAATTTTAATAAAAAATGCGGAGCTAGGGTTTTCTGTTATAACGCGACCACAGTTTTGAACTATCGGACGCTCGCTTTTAAAATTGATCGTTTTTAGAAAATATCACAATAAGTATGATGCATAATTTATTGACGCAGTGGTAGTTATGCTTGACCTGAAATCATAAGATTGCTTAGGTAGGGTTTAATTAATGCACCTGAGAATAAGGTTCTTTCTGAACAAAAACCTTTAGTTGCCATTCTCCTAGGTGCGCAGGAGGAGGATTTGATTGACATGAACTCCGATGTGGGTCTGCTGCCCCCACTGGGTCGAAACGGGACTGGGGCGAGGGGGATGTCTCCGGTGCACAGTGACCATCCATCTGACTTCACAGATACAACGTGGAACTCCAGGGCAGGATTGGTGGGTGAGTGAATATCAACCAAGTTGCTGAACATTTGCCCTGAAACGCTTCTTGCATGTGTTAAGATTAGTCTAATTGTATAAGATAGTTTCAGTGTTGAGTCGTAAACTGAGTTTGTACTTCTACCCACGAGTGTCGCAGAAATGACTATTAGTAATATGAAAGAAAGGATTGAACATTTATGCGAAAGTACCTACTTTCAATTGAAAGCTGTTTTATCCGATTTGTTAGTACACATGACAGCTAGCAAGAGACGATTCCTACTCCGAGTAAGGATGTATATTTTTTGAAGAAGGAAATTAACTTCGAAGAAGAAAATTAACGAACTCGAAAGCTATTCCTCAAAGATTTTTTTTCCTGAACAATCTACCCATATTTTGTCAGGTCACACTGTTTACAGGATGTGATAATGTTCTTCCGAGAAGCAAAATGTACAATCGCCCGAGATTCTATGATTGCCTGTGCGGTAGTTGACTTATATCCAGAAGATTTACCAGAGTTTTTCAATACTGATGGGCTAAAGTTTTTTCTTATGCACGACACTCCAGAGGAGGAAGAGTGGGACTCTTTTCCGAACACGAACATTAAATAAGTAATAAGTTGGTATTCGAGTTATCAGCTGTCGAAATGAAGTAATAGGGCAGGATAAAATTATAACAGCTCCCAATGTAATTTACAGGCTGCTATCTGGAAATTTACGAGACCTCAGAGTTTTTGGGAATTTCTTTTGTCGCAAATGAGTTCAAACCAGAGCCACATTCTTTTTGAGTTTTTTTTTGACCGTCCGAGAGAATTAATTGTATCATGAAATCATCAGCTGTTTTCTCCGATTGCAGTGACGCGTGAAAGTGAAGTAACTGGCACCTGCATTGATCTCGTATGAGGAATATAAAGAAAAGCAATAGACAAATTCATAGCATGGCTCCAATCGACTTTATCTCCATGCTAAAGAAAATTATAGATAACGTAATAGCGTTTAGAAAACTTATTGTGTTTGATAACTACGATATAAGCCGGGGTTCAGTTTTCCGTTGCAGTCCAAGTTACAAGATACAGATAATGATAGCACTAATGGGACCCTTAGCCTCAACATTCAATCTGAAAAGATCTGAACTATTATGACAGTTTTATTCCAATGAAAATCTCACGTTGGGTAGTAAAAACAACTCTCAAAAACAAACGTGAAAAGAAACGCAAACAGGAGAGCGAATGCCCTTAAAGTATCTTCATTTGATTCTAAGGAAACATATGCCATGTGAAGAAACTTAGAACATTGAGGCTGCATGCGTAGTGTTATATTACGTCTGCACTTTTTTCCAGGCCTAGTTGCAAACAAAGGTGCTCATTTGTTGCCATTTTTGGTGCATAGCTTTTGCAATTAAGCATCTGTTGTAGCGGGTTTATTGATTGCTAGTGTCTTACGATTTTCTAGCGAACATCGCACAGATACAAGAACGTGTGAATCTTAATCTCGAAGTTGGGGTTCGATTCCGGAACATAGCAGTAGTTTTATTTATCCAGGCTTATTTTTACTTCCTTATTTGACCCTTTTAAAGCTACCTTTTGCCGTTCTCTTGCTTGTATTTGCGAAATGCACCTTTGCTTCTGTGCTTGAAAATTGGAATTTACGCAGTGCTAATCAATACGTTTAGATTGAATCTAAACGCTTTTAAACGACTATGAGTCAGAATGAAACAATTAGAAATACTGAAGATTAAAAAAACTGAAGAAGTTTTGCTTCTAACATAAGATATGAAAAGGTATTCGAAACTGTTTACAAATTAAGTTTTTGTTTTATATGCATTTTCACACGTTTTTCGCTCATGGTTTTCGTGAAATTTTGTTGACCTAAATGTATAATTTGAGTTAATAATCCTATTTCTGGCTTAATTGGACCAATTTGTTCGATGACGCTTGTTATTCGATTGTTTGATGTACTCCAGATAATAAAAGTATTTTGGCAGATAGTCGAAATCGGAAAATTAGATAATCATTAACTACCGATTCTGAAAGTATATTTTGTTGAAAAAGGATTTATAAAAAAGTTCACATTTTCTAATTTTTTACTGACCTAATTTTGGTTAAAGGTGGATCGAAGTTTTTTCACGGAAAATTAAGTAATTATTCCGACCACTAAAATGAAACTTAACCTGAGCACCGGATGATTTTTTTCTACTTTTTTCAACGCAAAATCTGTAACCAAGAATGAACATCAAATGTGGCCGAGTGACAAATCATATTATTAAATAGTTTTCAATTGGCGATGTTGTTATTAATGGCGATCAGACAGCTCTAATGTATCTACCCAATTCAGCTGCTCCTCCTGCGAGCCGCCCTTCTACTCAACCGAGGCCAAGTGGAGGACCCGGAGTGACATCTCAACCCAGACCTAGTTACACACAGAGAGACAGAGGCAGTGCAATAGAACAAGAGCCAGGCTGTAAGTGAAGAGCGAATCCGGAATCTCTTTTAATGAAGTTCGTTCAACTCCGGTTTAAAATGTTGAAATTAGAGGCGGATCCAAATTTTATCAAAAATCATTCCTGCATCGCGAAAGTATGACTTATTGTTTTTGGGAAAAATTTACACGAATAATCGTGAATAAATGTTACGCAAATTAGCCTTGAAAAATATTTAAAAGATTGTTTTAACGTTTACGAAATTAATGAAGAGCATGGACTGTACATGAAGTTTTTTTTCAACAGACCACATTGCAATCAGGTTGTTTTTGTTTTGCAAGCAGAAGCAGCATTAGTTTTACGCTTACCAACACATCCCGCCGTGTGCTGATGGAAATGGCACGTAATTTGGTTTCAATTGAACTAAGCATTTGCTCAGTCAGTAGTGGCACGTTTTGTATGTAGTATGTTGTAGTGCTGGTAAAAAGCGAAGCGGATTATACCTACGTTTGCTCAGTAAAATCACAATTCTACCACAGTCATTTTTACATTAACCATTGCCATGTTTAAATTGTATTTATCTTACACATTGTTTTATTTGACTCAATTCGAATTGTGATTTTTTGTATCCGAAAAAGCATTTTTAGAGTTTGTTCTTTTTTGATATTCGCCAACTCTGTTGTTGATCTGTGGAATTTATTTAGACGTAATGAATACTGGTGAGAGGAATACATACCAGCGTGGATTTTCCACTGGGGACCGAAGCGAGAGATACCAGACGATGCCCAGACCCATAACTCCACCCCGACCCGAAATGGAAATGGGGACAGCGGGCTATGGTACGGGCCCTGTGTATAACACTTACGGACTGGACACCCTTCAAAGGGGAGGAGGGGGAGGCGGAATGGATGATGATCGCAGATCCCACTTTTCAGTGGCGACTTCTGTAGTAAGCACCGTTCCGTTATCAACTCAACCAGCTGCAACCAAGACTATGAGTGGTCTCTACGCTCTCTTGCTAATCATGTTGGGAGTCGCAGTTACTATGGGCGATATTGTCTCTCGAAGAAGCTACGATCCGAAGTACGCTGATTTCTACGCTATGTATGTCTACGGGGGAGGCACTATCGCAGCTCTGTATCTCTGTCTGGCATGTATTTATGGCAAAAGACGGGGCAGTGCGCCCGTTGACCATCACAATGGATCCATTTATATCAGAATTGGAGCGGCTGTCTTCTGTTTGGGAAGTCTGGCTCATTCGGCTATCATTATTGCGGAGACGTTTCAGTATCAGGATCACTGTTATATCTACGCACGCCTCGGAAGCATATCTCTTCGTGCTCTCTTCCAAGTCACACAACTGTTCGTCGTTCTCATACATTCAAAGGTACTGTTTTGTCTTGCTGCAATTTAATCAAGTCTAATACTGAACTCATGGGGTGGATCAAGGATTTTTTCGAGGGGCGGAGGTTTTTCAAATTGAAAACTTCAAATAAACTTTTGTCGATATTTTTAAATCGAGTAAATTGATATTTCGATTTTAAAAAACACAAAAAAAGCTGTGTTCTGGCACTTTTGGAAGGTTTTGTTTGACCACAAAGTCGAGTTTTTTCGGCGTGCGTTCTGCTCTAAGATAGATTGGCGCCTAATGTAGTCGGTCCTAAAAGTAATATTGGCGCCTAAGATATTGGGCACCGATATAATTTTTAGGGTCGGTCGTCCGAAAATATTTGTCGTAAAAAAGAACTAAATAGTAGCGTAGCGAAAGAGATATTAAAGTGTTAAATGATTTTTAGTGTAAAATTTTGTTGATCGAGTTCATCGAATCAAATAGATTGAAAATGTGGCATCGATGGCACTTCAGTCTTCCCGTTGCTTTTAAAAACATTCTTGTTTTTTTGCGCTGTGACTTGTCTCGATTTGTGATATTGTAGCATCTCTTAGTATCTGGCCTTGTTTGATTTGTACAAATATTTTTGTAGGTTTGTATCCAGAGCTGGAATGGTCTGGCGCGTTTAGTGCTGGCGCATGTGATAGCTGCCAACTTCCTCATGTGGTTCAACATCACCCTCAAGGAGACTTTGGAGAGCATTGTTGTGAATGTGCCGAGACACTACCACAACATCCGCATGTTCTGCCAAAGGGACTACGCTAACTCATTCACAGACATGGAGGAGGTAAAAAACATCAAATTCCTTTGGGCTCTTTTTTTTCTCCTACCTCCTCCATCATTTGAATTTTTAAGTTAAAAAAAATGACATTTGAAGTTTCGAAGTTGAAAAACTAACTCAACGTTGATATATTACAATGAAACTTTGCATGGTGAACTACTAACTATCGAACAGCAGATGTGTAAAGGTCACGAGAAATGTGAATGACTTCCAGTTTTGAAAGTGGATTTCAGTTTTAAGGTTTCCCAGCGGAATTAAGAATTAAGCCTTGATCCAGTTGTTTCTAAATTGGATAAAGAAGAAAAATCCTATTGAATTTTTGAAATTCAAAGAGCTTGAATGTGATTTTTTGTATTTTCTTGGAATTCGAAAGTTGTTTCAATATTTGGTTTCCTTGCTCTTTTCACACAGTCGAGCTTGCGAGCATTTTGTTAATCTGCGAATTCCACTTTTTTCCAGCCCAACTGGCAAATAAAAGTGCTCATTTTGGATGTCTGAGATTCGATTCCCGCAGAGGGCATTCTTTTTCAGAATTCATCAATAATTTTTTTGCTTTTTTCTATTTACACAAGCAAAGCTTGTGTGAAAGGATGAACTCTATTTTTTCCAACCCAAGTCGCAATTATTGTTTCGACCCAAATATTGTTGCGACAAAATGTGTTTATTTTGAAAGTGTTCATTTTGATCAATAACCAGCTATTAAGTACAGCCAATGCTAAGGATATTAACACAGACTATTGTAACAAACAGCTTTTTAGCTTCAAAGTATCATGGATCTGTAGCGTAAAGTTAGGGGAAAAGATCCGCATCAAAATAAGAGGACTCGAACCTGGACATGGTCGGATGTTTTTAATGAACTTTTTCGTATACTGTAATGTTAAATTGCGTCCGCTCTCTAAACTGAGGCATGTTTAGTTAGTAAATTTCTTTTTTTTTCAAATTGACTGCTAATGCGTCATAATTGGCTTGCGTCACTTAGCAATTATGTAGACTCATAATTGGCGTGCGTCACTTAAGCAATTTTGCAGACTCTGTGTTTCAAAACTACTTTGTGGCTTTTTTCCGCTTCTGGGAATTTCAGTTCTGCCTTTGTGTACATTTTTTCAACATGTTTGGTTATGTTTTGTCATTTAAAGTCGTTTTAAATAGCATTCAGGTAACAGTTTTTCAGCAAAAATCGAAAGGGGAATTTTCAGCGAAAATCTGTAGCATAGGGAATTGCATAGCATCTGTTCTCTGCTTTTTGTGGCTAGTATTTGGTGTCTATTAAGCGTCCGTGGCTGAGTGGTTAGTGTGTGAGACTCTTTATCTTTAGGTTGCAGGTTCGAATCTGTGACGCAGCCGAGCTTATACTGATTCGAGGCTTATTTATGATTTTTCTTATTGCACTTTGTAGAGCTCCTTTTTGTCGTGTTCTCGCTAGTGCTTGCGAAGCTTCGCCTCTGTGATAAAAATTGCACTCAATTAGAATTTCATTGCGTTTACGGGACATTTGGCCGAGAGATAACGACTATGCGTGGGACTGCAATGTTCTAGGTTCGTTTTAATTACACTTGCGATTGCAAATATGTTGCAACGGCGCACAAGACGTTTTTTCCAAAAAATAAATTTGTTCAGTTTTTTTAGCACTTAACATCATATTAGCTGCACACACGCGTCTGATGATTTTTATTTAACAGTCTAATACTTTATGCTACTTTAGATTCCTTCATAACGTGTTTTTATATATATTTGAGGTAAAAAAAAATAAATTTAAATTTTTTTCGTCGCTTTCGGTTTAATTTTTGTCGGCATATTTTTTTCGCAGGCCAAATACATACAATGGCTAAATTTGTCAACTTATTTTTGATTAGTTTCATAAATTTAATTGCTCAGCAATTTTGATTAAAATTGTTTGAGTTTAGCTCTCACAATTTGAAACCCTTTCCGATTGTTTCCAAATCTTCTAAAACTATGAAAAATGCAGTTTTGGTTGTTGTCTTTTCGCTTTTCTGCAACTTTTTTTACCCAAGCATTGCTTGTCTTATAGTATGAACTGTCTTTTTGTTTCAACCTAACTCGCAAATATTCTTGCGACGCAAATATTGTTGCGATAAAATGTGTTCATTTTGAAAGTGTTGATTTTGATCAATAAACAGCTATTAAGTGCAGCAAATGCTAAGGTTATTCACACAGACTATTATTGTTCCGGCTTTCGTGACGAAAGTAACAGAATATTTGTGCTCGGGTGGTTTTTTTTTCTGTAGACAAGTTTCGACTTTTTAACTAACCATTTTTGACGGGATTTTTAAATATCATTCGAAAGGTATTGTTGCCCTGAGCTCAAATTTGAAAAGATATTCCACCTGTGATCATTTTTCGTAAAGTTACGGGGGTTTAAATATTGCCATTTTAGTCAATTTGGGACAATTAACGCGCGATATATTTCGCGCTTTTAACGCGTAAGCGGAGATGTAATCCGTCATAGAAATCGTTCCAAATTGGTTGAAGGAAGCTTATTTACCAGAATTGATTTGTTACTAGGAGCAAAATTTATCACTTTGTACTTAATATGGCGTGGATGATTTTCAAAAAAAATCTGAAATTAAAAAAATTCATTTTATTTTTTAAATTTACTTTTTTCATGTTATTACTGCTCCATAGACTGCTCTATAAATTGAGGCATATTAGATAGTAATTTTTTTTTCAAATTGACTGGTACTGCTAATGCGCCTTAATTGGCGTGCGTCACTTAATTTTGTAGACTCAAAGTTTTACCCATTCACTTTTCCCCAGTAGAGTTATTGGCCATGTATTTGCTTGTGCATGCGAAGTGCAACTTCGCCTCTGTGTAAAATTCATTTTGAAGTTTTTTTACTTGCTAGTTTATATCTGTTTTTTTGTTTTGAGATAAGCAAACTCAGCACAATTAATAGTGAGGATGTGGATAATGAAAACTGTATTTCCGTAAAATAGCAAAAATTAACCTTAAATTTTTGATTCTCTAGATGATCATTCATTTTCTCATTAAATGTGATGTGGCTGTTAAACACGAAAACCTCTCGAAATGTGGCGCCTTTTTAGCAAGTCAACTATTTGTGTTAAAAACAAAATTTTGATTTCGAAATTCGCGTTGTTTGTAAGTTAACTGAATCTTTTTCTTGTAATTTATCATGTAAGTTTTATTCCGGGTTAAAATTTTGCTTGTATTAATTGTTTCGGCTTATAATTTATCGGCTTAGTGGCGTAGTTATACGTCGTTTGTAGGATAAAATAGTTTTATATCCCTTTGTGTGTTTCCGGAGGTTGGAAAGAAGGATAAAAATTTGGAAGTTTACCCCACTTCTAGTTTTTTGTTTGATAATTGTTTCTGAAAAGTTATTTAACGTCAGCGTTGTGTTTCAGGAAGTTTATTCCTCAAATAAAACATCATTTAAGACAACAGTTTGAAATTATTGTAGTTTCGGTGAATTTTTTTGTTTGTTTGGTATCGGAAGTGGTACGCAGCTACTCTTCGCCTCTGGTGAGTATTGGAAGTAAATTGATATTGGATTAATTAACTTTTTTCTTTCTGACTCTTTCCAACTGGAATTTCAGCGAAGTTTACTCAGACGCAGACAAGCAGTAATCTTATAATTAAAAGTTTATTATGTTGGTGCATAGTTTTCTTAGGAATTGATTAATTTGTCACATGTAGCGGCTATCAAGATCATCCTGTTAAATTATTCTGTTTCGCTATGTGTATTTTGAGCACAGCCAGAAGTAATTTGGCATTACGGCAAAAGAAGTTGATTCGTTATGTATTTCGAAACATGTGAACAATCTCAATTTAGGGAAGAGATCCTTCGCAAGGTTACTAGTATTCGTTTTTTATCTAATTGAAATTAGGTATTTTTTGCTGAAATTTGCCGTTCAATTTGATTGGAGGGTAATTGATCACTTGACTAGTTTAGGGGGGTGGGGGGCTTGTCCATAGGAGTTGCTTATCATTTTTCATTTTACTGCCCCTTGGGCGCAAATGTGGCTGTCAAATTTGATGCTATATCCAGCGGAGGATTTAGGGCGGGGGCGGACGCCCCCTCAGGGATTTGACCCCCTTTGTACTAATTTGATATACCCATTTTTGGCTGACTGACCCTAAAATTTTTCTAAAGGCGCAAATATTTACTAATTTTGAGGGGGAAGCCTGCGCCGAAAAAACTCAATTTTTTTGGTCAAAATTTTCATAAACAAATGCCTAAAAACATCTTTTTTGGCCTGTTTTTTTATAAAGTTTTGGCTGCGGAGCAGAAAAATTGGCCAAAACATGGTGTTTTTAGTGCTTTGGGAGAGCTCGAAAAATCAGTTTAGTCAACCTTAAAAAAAGGTCGACAAACTTTTCCAAAATTTTTAAAAATCCGCCCCCCCCCCCCCCCTCAAGAAAATCCTAGATCCGCTCCTGGCTGTATCTAAGATAGTTACTAATGTATATGTATATAACTAGTTTTGTTCATACAAATATCACGTACTGATGTTTTCATGAACTGTCTAACTTGATATAAATTAACCTAAAATTGCTCATTTCGACGTCGTGTTTTGTGTTTCTACGCGTATAAACCGTGTCCAAAAAAACCTAATTAACCTAAAAAGCTTTGGTTTTTTTACAAACTAAATTGCTTAAGGTCACCGATATTGCCAACAATTTGGCATTAATTATTTATATATAGATGGTATGTGTGTTTAGGAGTCCAATCCAATTCTGGTGCCGATGGCAGTAGCCTACTGTGTGATAGCTGGCTTCATGCTCTTCTCCATGTGGAGGAACATTGGCAAGGACTACTCGGTCGAGCACAGAGAGGAGAGCTGCGAGGAACACGAGAAACAACTGTCGTTCCAGTGCAGGTACCTCTCAAAATCTTTTTCCGATCCATGAATTTTACGCCGTAATAATCGAGACAATAATTCTTTCTCAATGTCTAGACTAACCGTGACAAAATATCTTAAGATCTAGTTTTTTTCGAAATTTTGAACGAATTATTTTCTACTTAAGCAGCTTTGTCCTAATTTCTGTCGGCTAGTTTGCCCTGTTATGGTTATGTTGCGTCGAAAGGGGTGCGGAGCTTCGCTTTGCCGCACTGTTTCAAGTTCAAGCATATTTGCTTAAGCGAAGGAAAATTACGACGTCCAACAGCAAAAAAAGTAAATGGCGCTAAAAACGTGAAAGACTTGAGCTTCGAAAGGTTTTTTTTATTATTATATTGAAGTGTCAATGAACGCAGCGAAGACAGTTATACAAGTCTCTCAAATCTGAACTTTTGCTGGTTGATTCTTTAATTTTTCTTAAATGCATTTTTAAATTCATTCTCTAAAGGAAGGATAGTTATGCTCTCGACTAACAAAAGTTCAAATGGGACAAAAAATGTGAATAACTTCTAGTTTCAAAAATAGGTTTCAGTTCCCATAATTTCTGTTGAATGCAAAAAATATCTTTTGATCCAGTTTTCCTAAATTAGCTTAATTTATCAAAAATGTGTCTATCATAAATTATTGATGAAATCATAAATGTGTCTATCATAAATTGTTCATGAGACAAATCAGTGCTTTTGTGTTTCTTTGCGTTCATTATGAGTCGATGAACGTAGTAAAGTTTCTTTATTAGGTCTTGATGTTTTTGTTTTCCGGAAAATTCTTAAAATTTGTTCATGATCAAATTTATTTTTCGCGCTTTGACTTATGATTTCTTTTGAAGTTCAGTTAAATTTTTTTAAAAAGGAAGACGAACTCCTCTATTGAACAGCGAAAGTGTAAAAGGTCACAAAAAAGAGTGATCGACTTCTAGTTTCGAAAGTGGATTTGAGTTTTCAGGTTTCCCAGCTGAATAAAGTATTCACCCATTGATCGAGTTTTCTCAAATCGGGTTAATTTTATCAAAAGCATTTTCAAAGAGCTTTAAGGTCATCTATTTTTTTTCTTTGAGATTTGAAAGTTGAGTACTTTTCTGTTTAACTTCTGTTGGCTATGTTTTAACTTCCTGGTAGAACCCAAAAATACCCAGTTTTAGTTAATTGGATTAGTTTCATGAATATAGTCTGACTATTAATCGATTTTGACAAGTAAAAAGCCTTCTTATGATATTTTTTCCTCAAAGGATGGAAAGTTTTCAAAGAAGCTCATGTTTTTGAGTTCATTGACATTTATCCAACTTTAGGTTACCTATGTTTAGATGCTGTTAAAAATCACATTATGTCCTCTCACCAAAAATACTGATTAAAGAAGCTCCACTCCTACAAATGACTGATTCAACGTTTCAGCATATTGAAACAGAGAATTGACTGCCATTTTGCATAGAATTTGCATTGGGTATTTAGAAACCATTTTTTGTTTGTTTCCTCAGAGAAGGCGTGCTTGGAGTGATGGCTGGTGCATTCTCCATCCTGGCCAGCATATCCATCCTAGTGCTGTGGATCATGTTCTCAAATGACAGGTCTCTCTACGACTACCTGGTCTCAATCTACCAGACATACAATGCCATTTGGTTGGGCATACTTATCCTTCTGTTCCCTGTGGCAGCAGCCGCTCTGAAGAGACACCGCAAACAGGACCACTATCACAACTCTCTAAATAGACCCATTCTAATCCTGACCACGACAGGAACGTTTGCCTACTGTATCTTAAATATCATGTCCTCTGCTGTTTTAATCATCCACTCTTTTTCGATACTCGCTCTGGCTACATTGGTTGGCTACTCTGTGCATACAATACAGGCGGCAATTCAAACTGTCTATTTACTAGACGGACTCAGAAGGTGTGTAATTGTTTTGATATACTTATTCAAAAATTATTCGGTCTTTAAAAAAGTTTTTAATCGGTCTTCAAAAACTTTTTGTACTTTCGTCGATCTTTTATAATCTTTAGCAATTACAAACAACGAACAATTAAGGCATCATTCAATTTAGGCATCGTTCAATAAATAGTGCACTTAGTTTTTTCAGCAACAAAGAACAATTTATGCGTTATTCACGTTACATTCTGAACACGATTATTCACAGTGTGAGTGATTACCACCACGAATGTCTCATTTTATGTTTTTTGAAGTGTTAATGAACCAAATGGTTTTTTATGTATTTGTTTTACAGATGTCCCCGTAGGAAACGCAAGCCACCTTCAAAGAGTTTTGTTCTATTCTTCCTCCTCGTCAACGTCTCCCTGTGGATTACAATCATCTTCGAGCTGAAGGAGACGTCTCTGAACCCTTTACAAGAAGACTTCTACGGAATCATAAACTGGAATGTCATGCTGCATTTTGTTGGCCCAATTGCTAGTCTTTACAGGTTCCACTCAGTCTGCTGTTTTATCGATGTCTGGAAATTTGCATATTAATTTTCATAAATTAGTTTTTTTTAATATAAATTTGTTAGATTTCTTTTGTTTTCTCACCCCTGATGCATTTCTTCTATCATTTAAGTTACCCTAAATTTAATTTTTGCAATTTAGTTTTTTTTTTCAGAAAGGAATTAGAATATATATTTTTATTGCGTACAGTGAACGCTCAGAACTAACATTTAGACTTGGCTCAGGTTTATTTAAGGTTATTTTTTTTTGAAGACAGCTTGTCAACTACGCGTGTGTGCAATCAATTTTTCTACGCGTGTGCGTAGTTCTCTCATTACCGCGTACACGAAATGGCACTAATTTGAAGAAATTTTGTGTAGTATTTCTGAATGTGGATATCTGTAACTAAAATTATAAGAATACGAACAACCGCATGAAGCATTCCATATTGCGAGCTTCTGCAGTCATCATTCCGTTATTGCAAAATCCCTTCGTGTTCGCTCCAAACAATTCAGATTTCTGCACGAAACTGAAACTATTCCGAAAATGACATCCAAAATATCGATTTCCCTGGCAACTTAGCTTCTCTTCAAACTTCGGTCTCTGCAGCAAGTTGATCAGGAGTCCATTTCCGTCGTTTTTCGCTCAAGCTTTTTTAATCATTTGGCGACTTCAGCGAAAATTCCGTTTTGTTGAAACAAATATTTATGAAGGAGGCATAAAAACAGACGATGAACTAGAATCGACACCGTTTTCAATTAGTTTCGGCATTTAAATTTTAAAGAGTTTGCCTACCATGCATTATTTTAATAAAAATTGATTCTGAACCACTTAAAATAAAATCAGCGCTCATTAGAACCCGTTTTTTCTTTAAAAGGAGGTGAATAAAAATAAGATAATAAATTTAAAATTTGTTCTAAATTTTAAAAAAGTTCTTAATTCTCAAGGAAGCGCTAAATGAAGCTTCCAAATTTTCGTTTATAAATATCAAGTTCTATACACACGCGTAGAAAGTTATTAATTTAGGCGTAATTGTCTGACAACAGTTTTCTCTTAAAAAATAACACAAACAAATAAACATCTGATATATATTTTTTGACAATGAAGCGCTAAATCCAGCTTTCAATTGTTTGCAGGAAATATCTATTTTTGTCAGCCTAAATAACCAATTTTCTATATCACTATCGTAACTCGACCGCTTTTATTGCTCGAAATTAGTCAACCTGTTTTTTGAAACGTTTTTTATCGAAACAGGTACAAGTTTTTGTATTTAAAATGTCGTTCAAATCGCAACTGAAAGGGCTTTTAAATGATAGCTCAGTCGACCCATTCCGATAAATAATTGTGGTGCCAGATACTGCGTGAAAACCAAAAAAGCAAAAGAAAAACAAACACGAAAGCTATATTCCTAGACGTTTTCAATGGTCGGATCAACAAATTTTGAAGGAAACAACAATAACCTCAATGAATATATTGACAGACTTCAGGTATATCTTAACAACTTTCGTCGAATCTGCAAATAAGTTTTTCCGACTCTTGATTGAGCGAGAAGTTTGTTCATCATTATCTTTGCTGCTGGTCTCATTTATTACTGATTTTTTTTTTGCTGGTATATACGAAATGGATTTGCTTTTAGAGGTCAATAACACTGACTGTTACAAATAATGAAAAACTTTTCATCAGTAGTTGTTCAATTAAAATTATACTTGATTCAAACATAATATGGTTTTATGTGTTTTTATAACCCACCCTCAAAATTCATTGATGATTCAAATTAACCGGATACAACGAGCCAAAATTGAATTTTTAAATGCGTTTTTCTCAAATTGGGTTGAGATAAGACAGATAATGCAAAAAAAAAGTTGCTCCGAATTTCACCAAAATTTATATGGTGCTATTCGTTTTTCGAAATCGATAACCAAAATTTTCCCCCAAAAAGGTGTTTTTTTCGGCTTAAATTTTCCCATAAAAGGTGTTTTTTTTCGGAAGTTAATCACAAACTGCGCTGAAACTACCGAGTCAATTCACGAGAACTCATATCAAAAGAAGCTTTTTACATAGTCCGACAAAGTTTAAGGATGGTAAAATTCCCAAAAGTTTGCTCAAAACGTTTGAAATTTGTTTTAAAGCAAAGATTTTAATTTCTACAAAGTGAAAATGACACTTTTTTGGCTACCAATCAAAAATATTTTTTCTAATTTACAATTTCAAAAATATTTTTACAATTTTTGAAGATTTCGCCTTAATAGGGATTTGTTGGGCTGTGTAAGTTGCTTATTTTGATACAACTTTTTCGTCAAATAACTCGGTAGTTTCAGCGTAATGCTTGATTAACTGTAAAGACAAAAATATCAATTTTTATGGGAACTTTTTGGCTGCTGATTTAGCCATTTTGATTCTGATGAATTTTTGAGCTAATTTTTTTCTGTTCACTTTTTATCTAACCTTTACACAATATCAGAAAACGTCTGTGATAATTCAAATTTTGTTAGTTTTGTTCGGATAATTCAAATCAGCACTGTACAACTGCGAAATCATTATAAACCTTTTTTCATTTGACCGTATCATAATTTGAAACATGATTGTATAATATTCATATGCAGGTAACTCCTAACCCAAATATTTTCATGTAAGCTTCAACTATGTTTCAAATTTATTTGTTTTCGAAACTTACAACAAATCAACCATACGAGTTTTGACTGGCTTTTTTTTTTACTTTTGTCCGTCTTTTTAGCTGTTCAATTAATGAATACACTGTTTTGATATCTTGACTGAATATAGTGTTGTAAACGCTGAGCAAAGTGGAGGTATCATAATGCTGTTTGCGTTGATATGAAGTCAAGCCAGACCTATTTTTTTTTCAATTTTTTTTTATTTTGGTTGTAAAGTTTAGGTAATCAATAACTAAACCTAGAAATTTCAGGGATGTTCTGTTATGTATGGGATCTATGCGGTATCTGGGCTCTGTTTTTTTGCCCATTGAATTTCCTGATGGCAAATTTATTCTTGTTTAAAAAGGTTTTATTTTTTCTAAAAAACAATGTTTGATCATTCTTACTTCATCGTCTTCCTGCTTCTTGACACCAGTTTAAGTAACTGTAAATATTGCGTAACCATTGGCAAAAATTACTATGTTATTCTGCCCACAGACATATGATAGCAAGTCTGTAAAGCAAAAACAAAACAGTCCCAGTGCTGAACCTTGTCGTACACCATATTTTATAGTTTTAATGTCAGAATATGAAATTAGATAACAAATGTACTTTTCAAAAATATCAAATTATGACTTCAGAAAATCCATTTGCCTGCTTTTTATTATTAAATTATATAGACAGAAACTGGTAAGTTATTAGAAACAATGAGAGAAAAACTATTGTAGTGAAATTTTTCTTTCTAGACGTAGTATTACTATCAGAACGATATGACCAAAAAATATCCAATAAAGAGATGTTAATTTACAACAACATACTTAAAAAATGCGCGTTGTCAAAACTATATATATTTCAAAAACTAATCAAAAAAGCAGGTGAATTTTTACGCTGTAAATATTTGGCTAATTGTAAAACTTTAATTTATAAAAAAGTAAACTTTTTTCATTTTTCGTTTTCTTCCTTGTAATTTGCTTTTCAGCTTTCTAGTCATTTCTCGTAATGTCTGCTGTGATAGCATCTGTTTTCTTCTATGATTTAAATAATCATGTTTTTTTTTTCATTGGACCGTTACATAATTTTAAGCTTGAAGTTAAAAAAGTCATATTCTATTCTCGCACTCCAGGCGAAGCTAATGTTTGACCCTAAAAAGTTTTAAACTTGAATGGCTTCTAGTTTCAAAACGAATATGCTTCACAAGTCTATGCTAGCTTTCTATATACTAAAATATTGTTTCATTAGCTGTGCCATAAATCAATACACTATTATGATATAACGAATGAATGTGCAGTATGTATAACCTCAGACAAAAATTTGCATTTGAAAGATAAGAGGTATTACAGTATTATATGAGTTAATATGCCATCGAGCATGATTTACTCATTTTTTTTCAATTTTTATCCATATTTGAAGTTAAGTTTTTCATCAATAAATAGACCCAAAAAAAACGGGATTTTTTGTTTAGTATTGTATCTGTGGGGATTTTAAGGGATATCTAAGATTCATTATTTTCGTAATAGGTTCTTAGGAGTCAGGTTCGTTCTTATTTATGGTAATAGAAGCATTCAATGTTAGACATTGTTTGACCAACCGTCTTCCCGATTCTTAGTTCCAGTCTTAGTGCAACCATCGGCAAAAAATAGAGCGTTGTTCCACCGTGAGGCATTTAGTTAGTCGTTGTTTTACAGCAAAAACAACAACGGACCCAGGACTAAATTTTTCCGTACAGCATAACTTATAGCTTAAGGGTTCGAGTATGAAATCCGAATAGTAGCGTACTGTTCAGAATTCTCAAGGTATAGCTTTTAGAGATTAACAGTTTTACCTCCCCGCAACCCGAACTAATCAATTTTAAATTTAGTTTCATGATCAATTAGCTCAAATGCTCATGTCAAGTCTTTTAATGAACCCACTGAATCAGCACTTTCCTCTAAATTCTTCACTTTTTTCTTTGACTTCCAAGTTAGCATCAACGATACGTTTTTATATTTGCGAAATTTTTAGCAATTTATATTTGAAACGTTTAGCAACCAGTGTTTCGAAAACTTGTTTTAAAAATTGGTTGAAGAGATATCAGTCTGTTGTTACTAGATCTGACTTTGCTCTTTTCAGTATCCCACATAGAACTGCACCAAGTTTTCAAAAAACAAGGTCATCGTCTCTCGTTTCCAAAAAGGTCAAGAAGCACTTTGAAGTTTTTTTCAAGTTAACGACTTTTGCTTTCAAATAATTTTTCATTGAATGTTTTTTGATTTACGACTTGCGGCATGTACTTTTCTAATGTTTTTTTTGTTTGTGAATTTTATCAAAGTTATATTTGTTTGTCTGTTTCAACTTTTTTAAGCAGTTATTCATTGTATTACTTTTTTGTATTTCAGTTTCAGCTGTTATACACTGTTCTAATTTTTTGAACAATGAGCTCAGGAAATGAATTTTTAGCTGAAGATTACATAAACTTTATAGCGTGAAAACTTTACACCTTCAAAAAAGTTTCAAATTTTGGTTGTGCAATGGTCTGCAAGTGTGCAAATTTGATTTCAAGTAAAGTTCTCTGGTCGTCCAATAAGTGTCAGTTAGTCCAAAGCTCCAACAAGAGTGATCCAATTGTCAAATGGATTGTCTTTGTGTAGGTAAAAAGTAACCCCTCCAACTCGTCCATACAAATTATTTGTTTTTATAAATTGTTAACCTTCTAAATGACAAATCCATATTCCGTTTTTCTGTCAGCCATGCTTCAGTAAAAGTTTGAAATGGCGGTTCTCTAGGTTTAGTTTTCAAAAACTATTCCGAGGGTTCATGTTTTTGCTTCAATGAGCAAATGAGCAAAAAAATCGACAAATACGTTGTTTTCTTATGTGATATGATCAATTAATTGCTGAGAACCTTGCAATTATGCTGAGTCTTTATCTAGTTAAGAAAATCTTTTTTTTTCAAATGGCTCCAGTTACTGAAAGTCTATTCCGGTTACTGAAAATCGCAGCCCAGAAAATACATTTGTTTTTGCTGAATTTTATTGTTGAAAGTCGCCATTTGATTCAAAAATGCTTATTGAATTTTTTTTGAGAAATAATTTGAAAAAAAAAATGGTAGTTTTCTGTGAAAATATTAATCATTTGTTTTAAAAAAACTTCGATAGTGTTTTAAAGAAGGAAAACTGCCAGGCCGTCGAAAAAAGAAAAAATTCTGTGTTGCCGAAATTCGTGCTCATTCAATCGTTATTACCTAAAAAGCATCATGAAATTCAAGTCCACATTTCAGTTTTAAGGACTACTCCTATTTATTACAAATAAGAGTTCACGCAATTCTTCTTTCACATTTGATTGTTTATCTTACGGACAGAGAGTGTCATATAGTTTTTTGACTCTCGCGTCAAGTTCAATTTTGGATTCAACACGCTTAATCAGCTTAATCAAGTTCAATTTTGGATTCAACACGACATCAATTGTTTTTGACAGAATTTCTCTCAGTGTTTAAATTGATCAATTATTCTAATCGAACTTGCAAACGTTCACTTCTATAATTCAACAATGAAGATGTGTTGAAGCCATTTTTGAATGCCTCTTGATTTATGTTTGACCCAATAGGAGGGATACGTTCCTCCTTGTTTTTTATACCATTCATTTTGATGCTTTTCCTGCTGAACTTTTTTCGCAATTTGTAAATTATTAAATGGTCCTACAGACTAACCTTTTATAAAAAAACATTAAGATCAACCCAGAGGGTACTTCTTCAATAACCGGTTTAAAACAGTACGCATTCAATGAGCAATCCGTGAGTTTTTTGTGACCCAATTTTCAAACACAAAATAGTTAAAATACCAAGAAGTAAAAATTACCCGTATATGCCTGCAGATCAAACGTAGGGTTCTTTATGGTATTTTTTTTTACTGTGATGCTCTCGTGAAGCCTCAGATGCTCGGGCAGTTATCAATAACTAGTTTGAAAATCGTTCAGCTTTTTCGCAAGTTGACTCATGTCAGATACTAAATTGTCAGCCATCAGCAGCAACACCTCTCTCACATTTTTATCCATCTGTAATTTTTTTGAGGGAATTTATTGTCTGCTGTTGAATATCTCTGATTTTAGTATAGTTAAATGTCTAGACTCTCTGAAAGAGAATCAATCCAAATGGATACTTTCAGATAAAACTAATACAGATTGTTCTTAAACTGTTTACCCGCCTGATAAATTTTGTCGGGAAAATCATTCTCAAAAAATCAGTTAATTTTTTCAACAAGGTTTTTTTATTAGATTATGTGGTGTCGTAATTTTTTCTTTTTACTTCTTAACATTTAAAAAGAAAAAAAGGGTTCATTTTTTTTCGTACTTCAGATGCTTTGTTCTGATTTAATTTTTCTTGCATTTTTTATCTCTCCTAAGCTTTGTAGGGTTTTTCGAATTTACTTCTGTTGCTTCCGAAAAACTTTTCATGGAAAACTTTTTTTGAATATTAACTCGTTTATCAATTCTGTTTTGTGTTCGTGAATTTATCAAGATTTTATTCATCCTTCTTGTTTGAATGTTTTTTGTAATAATTGTTTTTTATTTAACTCTCTCTTTGGTTTCAGCTGTTATCCAGCGTTTATATTTTCTTTTAATATTGTGCTTAGGAAAGTTTTTTTGCTACAGAAGTTTAGATAAGCGCTAGAAGCTCCGACTTTCACACCTCCAAAATCATTTTTGAGACTATTTTTTTCAATGGTCTGTGCCAGAGTGCAAATTTGGTTTCATTTTAAGTTACCTGGTCGTCCAATAACTGCCACTTGTCCTAAAAATTTATGTTTTTTCCAGCTATTTCTGTCCTTCGTCAAAAAAAATTACTTTGACCGCCTCGCGGCCTAATTTAGAAATGGGATGGACCACCACTTTCCAAAAAAATTGGTAAGTTTTTTTGTGGGCCTGCTGCTTCTTTTATTGTGTGTTATCACCTTCAAGTTTATATATCCCACTTATTAGCAAGCTGCTGTCATTGTTTAGATAGTCACTCGTCGACGTAGACTGATCAACGTCTCTGTCGCCACACACAAGGTCATATGTCCAGGATGTATATTTCTCAAGTAAATTCTACATTTGATCAAAAACCTTCAGTTTTTTTTGGTGCACTGCAGAAAAACAGTTATAAGCAATTTCTCATCGTTTTTTTTGCTTTTCGTTAGAAATCAGTTTTTTTAGTTTATCAAATGAACTATCGTCCTTTCTTTTAAGCAGCCGCCCCAACGCGTCTCTACCAGTTCATATTTTCTATAGATGGATAATATGGCATGTGGCACATCCGTTATCTGAATTTCTGTCAGCCGTGTTTCTGTAAGAATTTAAGTTGCGGTTGATTAGATTTAGTTGCAAAAGTTTCCAAGGATTCATGATATTGCGTCAAAGAGCTAGCGTTTTGCAAAAAATGGACACTCAGTTTCTGTATTAGTCCTTTTTCCGACTTTTTTTCAAATTTTGTTGTGGCATACTTGTTTTTTATCGGCTGATTAGAAATAAGCTCTGTTTTTATTTGATGAAAGACCATGAATGTTGTATTCTATTTTATTTCTTTTTCATTTTATTTTCACTTACCAAATTAATTTGGATTGAACTTCAAAATTAAAAACTCAAAACTGCAACAAGGGTAGCAGGTTACTGTGCAAGTTGCTCATAATGTTCCGACCATTGTCTTAAAAAATACAAAAAAAAAGTTTTATCAAATTAGTGTCAATTTTTCTGCGTGGTGTGTTAAAAGGAACTGAACGAAAAACTAGAGCTTAGGCATTTTCGACAGTTAAAATCTGCAAATTGGAAACAACAATTTTTTAACAAGTTTTTTCAGTTCTTGTTTAAAAAATTTTAGTTGTTTTTCAGTTTTTTGAATTTTTGATTACAAAAAGGCGCTAAAAACTCAAAAAACTAATTTTACTCACTATAAACTATTGTAAGCCTGCTTGCTCGCTTTATATGCTCGATTTAAGACTAAACAACATTAATTTTATACCACTGGGACAGTTTTTTGAAAGTTTTTTCTAACCAAACTACTCAAAAATAGTTCTTCAGTTCATTTATTAATTTTTAAAGTTTTTTTAAAAAAAAAAAGATTTTTGTTTTATTTGTAAATCAGCAATATTTAGATGAGTTTGACAGAGTATCAATTGCAGTTCTTCTTCAATGTTCTGTTCCGCTCTTTGAGAGAAATTCGAACCCTACCCCACCCAGATGCCTTTTGAGTTGTAGAAGAAAGACTGCTTCTCTCCTATCTGAGGCTTGTACGTCGCTGAAACGAAATATTGAATCACGATGTTTGATTATACTTTCAGTCTGGTTCTAGAACTTTTGTGTGAGGGGGGCTGATTTGCAAAAATAACCTTCGACTTTTTTTAAGTCAGCGAACTGATTTTGCGGGCTTTTCAAAATCAATATAAAGTCAGTATTGGCTTTTTTTCAAGAAAATTGGTCTTTTGGACCATTTTTGAATAGTTGTGTTCATAAAGTCAGGTTTTTGCCGCGCTTTTTTTTCTTTCCTTAATTTTTTGTTTGCGTGAACGAAACAAAATTTGATTTAACATTTAGTTGTTACCCGTTAAATGTCACATTAATGTGAGAGCATTAATTGTAACATACTTGCTGTTCATACACAATCTTAGTTTTATCAATTAAGTGTGATTGGCGATGGCCATGATTATCGTCTTTTTTTCAGCGCTCCCAAAAACGGTAAGGTTTGCACTGATTGTATTTACGGCGACTGTAGTTGTGTCCACCGCAAGAAGGCGGCACCACTGAACCCTATTACCTTTTTTTCATTACGAGGCCAAACTGTGCATTTTGTGAATTGTAAGCGGATTTATTCTTTTTTGTTCTTTTGTTTTCATTGATCGTTCCGACAATATTTTAACTTGTTTAAAGACTTGTCTCTGAGTTCCATGAACATAGAGACACAAAATTGTGCGCCTATTCAGCGCACAGTTTAGCCTCTTAATGTTTTCGGGCTAAAAACAACAACAGTATCCTCTTTTTTCTTCTGACCTGGTCCTGGTTTGTTTGTACCCTCAGTAGATGAACCCTGTAATGTCCTGCCTGTGGTAGAGAGGAAGAAGCTGCTCTGCATGTATCTCTTCTGATTGTCGGCTGGGAAGTTAGTGGGCAGTTCATATGCCCCTGGGCCAGGCGGGGGAGGGGGTTTGGGCACTGGCATGGCTGGTGCCGATATACACAGGTAGTGTCTTTTCCTATAAAATCAAAAGCAGTCTTAGACTATAGATCTAAAGCTACCTAAAAGAACTATACTCTCACTGCCAACATAAGCATCCTAGTTTGTTCATCGTCAACGTTCTTTCTCTTGTTTTTGGACAAAAGAGGGGAAGGAAAAAGTCAGTTTCTTAATGAAAATTGATTTTTAGAACTTCAATTGTTTCTGGAAATTGAATTTTGGAAAATGCATTTTAAAAACTTAATTGTGTAGAAGAAGAAGAAGAAGAAGAAGAAGAATTTATTTCTCCATATAGTTGATAATACAAGCATCAATTTATTTAAATTATTAAATCAACAAAATGGAGGGGATAGACAAAAGGCGCAGTATGTGCCTACTTGACGTCTACCCGTTGAACAAATTAGGATTGCAACTAAGTCATAAAGATAAATTTATATTCGAATAAAAATAGGATTGTGGGGAAAAAAATTATTTTTCCCTAAAATTAAGCCCTCATTAAGGAATAGTTATTACATCTAGTCCTGTCATTTCGGCCAATTCTCATTCCAGCTGACGAACTAAGAATATGAGAAAACATATGAAAAAAAAATCTAAGTTTTTTCATATTTTTTTTAAATTTTCTAAAAAATGCGATTTCTCGAAAACTACAAGGATTTGGAGGGTCATATTTTCAGCATAGAATTGCAACCCTAGAATGGTTGTTTGATAGCATTTAGCCAGCGGGTACAATTTTTTAAAAATAAAAAAATTCAAAGAAATATGTTTTGCACCAACTCGTAATTGCCACAAATGAAATTATCTTTAAACTTATGGACGAAACTGTATTCTTCATTTTTTGACATCAATCCAATATTTTTAGATAAGAGCTTATTTATACTCATAATATTCAATAACTTGAACCCCTATTAGTCAAAGAACATGATTTTACCTTATTCTTACAGAATGGTGGAACAAATGATCGACCTTCTGAAATTCGCGTATTATAGGCAAAATTTTTTAAAGTAAACGAAGAATTGAGAAAACAAGTTGGATGTTTTTGATTTAGTGATCGTAAACAAAACTTCATCAAATCGTACACATATAGCTCATGAACTGTTAGTATTTTATTATCAGAAAAGAATTTAGTAATGGTATCAAATTTCCTTTTGAAGCAGATCATGCGAACAATTTTTCGTTGCATATTCAAAATTGGGTTTAAAAAAGAAAAATTCGTGCCGCCGTAGACGAGCAAGCCATATTGTTTTATTGGCTTGATATTCGACATATAGTATTTCAGTAGGATGGATCTTGGTACCTAATGTCTCATTTTTGATATTACACCATAGTGACGACCTAGTTTTGATTGAACATTCTGTATATGGTGAAAAAAATTAAGCTTATCATCTACAATGACACCTAGGTATTTGCAAAAAGGTTTCGGCTGAAAAGTAAAATCAAGTATATCAAAAGAAAGATTGGAAGCACTTCTATCCTTTGTAAAATTAATTAAATTAGTTTTATCTGAGTTTAAGGTTAATTTATTTGAACTAAGTCAGGAAGAAATTTTGGTCAAATCTAACTGGTATTCTTCATAGATAGATGTTTGACATGATATGTTTGTATCATCTGCAAATAGAAACACATTTGAATTGCAAACTGCGTGCTGTATGTCGTTAATATAAACAAGAAATAAGAGAGGGCCTAAAACAGAGCCTTGCGGTATTCCCGTGTTTACTTGCAACCAATCAGATGAACAGTTGTTTACATGTACTTATTGATACCTATTGGATAGATAGCTTTCGAACCATTTGTAGCAATTTCTACGTACTCAAAAGAATTTTATGGTCCAGCGTATCAAATGCCTTTTTTAAATCAATGAAGAAGCTACATTTAATGTTTTTATCAACACCTAGTCTTAATCTTTCAGTCAATTCAGCTAATGCATCAACTGTGGCAAACTTCTCCCTGAACCCAAACTGACGATGATACAGTAATTCGAACTTTTCAAGATAGTTGTAAAATCGAGAGTGCATGATTTTTTCAATAACTTTGCTGCAGCTACTTAAAAGTGATATTGGACGGTAATTGCTCATAATTATTCTGCTATCAGCTTTATGAAGAGGTAAAACCCGAGCTTACTTGAGGCTTTGAGGAAACAAACCGGAGCAAAATGAGAGATTAGTTAAGTATGTTAATTGTGCAAAAGAGATGAAACCAATCTATTTATACAATATTCTCGTTTCTCGTCATTTTTAGAATTGGATTTGTTCCCTCTTTGATAACTAAACTAGCTGAAAACACAATTTTATTTTTAATAAAACACTGTTTGAAACTTAGATCGAATTCTAGTAATGTACTAACGGCATCTGCACTCGTTTAATATCCGAGAGGTCTGGCTTCTCGTATGGTTCGTAGGACCCTGGACCAGGTACACTTGCAGCCGCCTTGCTCGTCGCGAATTCTCGTTTGGTGCCGGACTTGAAGCTCGCCACTGGCTCAGGTGCCCTGGGCAGGATGTAATTGGTGTTGGCGTCGTACTGGTTTGGGGCTGGTACTTGCATGCCAGGCGTTAAAAACGAAGAAGACCGCTTTGTTCTAATCAAAAAAGCGAAAGTAATTTTCCTTCCGTTTTTGATTTGCAGGTGCAGATATTTTTGATAAAACGTTTAAAACTTTAAACTTTGGTTAAAATTTTATAAATCTATAGCATGTGAGTATGTTTTTGCTCCAATTGATTTGCTAATTTTGTTAGTGTTTTAATGTAAAAATGCAAAAATTTAGATAGGAAAAGTTTGATCAATTTTTATTCGAAAACAGTCTTACGTGGATTTGAAAGCTGCTCCTGCGCCGCTGTTGCTCGTAATCGATCGCTTAATCTGCAAAGTTTTAATGTTTTGAAACATAAATAAAACAAAAATCCGTTAATTTTAGTTTTCCCGATACTTCACCTCGTATGCATTAGGGGGAGGGGCGACGACTTTCTTTTCTGTCGGCTGGGCTATCGGAGTTGCGAACGTTGCAGTGTATGGCGCTCGGTTGAAGTCGTTGGAAGTAGAGATGAATTCTCGTTTTGAGGTTTCATAGTAGCCAGGCCCTGGTCTGCCGGGGTCCACTCCGAACAGATTTTTTCTCCTTGATTTGGAAGCGAACGTTCCGGACCCCTTCTTGGAGGCTGAGGCTGACTTGCAAATCATGCTTCTGTCAATTGAAGAGTATGCTCCAGGACCTGGTGCCTCTGTCTGGAATATAATTTGTTCCTTGAAGCTAAGCTCAGATTATGGTATCAAATGGTTGCTTAAAAACACTTGGTTTTGATATAAGCTTAAACTTTTGCTCTTTTCCTAAAAAATCGATCGGTTCTCAAAGTACTACAAAGATTATCGGCCATTTTTCTGCACCGCTTTAAACTTTTTTCGAAAAAAAATATTGACTCTTCTTTTCATCACTCCCTATTCCCGACATTCCATTTTTTTAAAATCAAATAATTTAGTTAATATTTTAATAAAAACATAAACAAACATCAATAAATATTGCCTTTTAAAAACTTTTTACAGTTTTGAGAGAGTCATTTCAATGAATAACAGTTTTGTTGTTAACTGCAGTTAGAGAAAGTAGTTAGAGAAAATGCGGTTAGAGAAAACTGGTCCATAAGTAATTTTCTATTCCGTTGTGAATTTTGAAAAATACAATTCGTTTTTCTTTGACACTTGCTTTTCTCTTAGCAAAAAATATTAAAGTGATTTATAAAAAAATGAAAAATCAGACTGCAAAAAAATGAAATTTGAGCTTGAACAAATTAGAAAACGTTTTTTTGAGAAAAAACTGAAAATCACCTGATCGAAATAAGTTATAAATCATTTCTTTAGAAAATACGGTTTCCGTTTTTTCAGTTTTTTAAACAAAAATATGGAATATCAAAAAAGCAAAGTTTTTGGCTGTTTTCTAAGAGGGTCATTTTTGTTCCGACGGTTGAAAATGGGGAAGAGCTCTGTATTCGGGTGAGTGTTAGTTTTTTCTTTTGTTTCCCGCGCAAAATCAGAAAACACGAAAAATCATTGGAGTATGTCGAGTGATCTATAATATTACAACCCTTTCAGTCGCGATTTGAACGACATTAAAATTTTCAAAAAGTTGCCATCGTTAAGAAAAACAGCTTTGAAATTTTTGAGATTCACATTTGGATTTACAGAATTTTTTTCAGTCCAGTTTGAGCTGAGAATTTGAATTTGAATTGAATTGAAATAAGAATTTGTTTGAATTGTTTAGCGCAAAGCTTCAGTTTTTTTCTCCAATTTGTTGACTTTGAATTTGATTTTGAAATGAATTGAAATGAAAGTTCATTAAATTTTTAGCGCCATTTTTGAAAACCAACTTTGTGACCATAAAAGCTTTGAAGCTTTGTGACCATAAAAGACAAAACATTAGCTTCCCAGGAAACAGTAATGACTCTAAAACTTTAAAGTACCGTATTTTTTGTAAAAATATTGTTCATCGATAACTCAACGCCAAAAGGGTTTCATTGATGGGCTCTTTTCCACTCCCCCCCCCACCTTTCAAAATATCGATATTAAGTTTGTTTTACGTGTTATTACGGCTATATGCGTGATGTTACGCTGTAAAGTATGAAGAACAAATCTGTTCATAATTGTCAATTTGTTCACCATGCCAATTGTCTTTGCATTATGACAACTGTAAATAAGGTTTTCAAAAATGAATTTGAAAGGGGGGGGGGACTGGAAAAGAGCCCATTGATGAACTTAATAACACCTTCGAAACATAACTATTGAAGTTTGTTTTCATTTGGATAATTTTTATTAATCAGAAAAGTTTTTTTTTGTTTGCCAAATTTTTATTTGCGGCAATGTTTTCTTAAAAAAAAAGAATGTAGCGGCTTAGGCAGGGGAGCTTACTACAACTCGTTTGAGCGGTTAAACCCAAAATCTCAGATTTGACAAGGTAGTTTGTAAAATAAATCAAACCTTCTGCCACAAGATTTTTTGAAGGCTAAAAAATTGATGTAAGGTTAAAAAAAGACCGGAAGAATATGCGGTCTTTTCATTGAACCACTATTTTCAAATTGGTCAATTAATTTTGAGAAAAACGAAAAAATTCCAATGCTTCTTAAAAAACAAAATAAAAACCAAAACCGGCTCTTTTCCACTCCCCCTACCTTTCAAATGTTGTTTTTGTTGCTGCTTTAGGTGTAATTATGACCAAACGCGTAAAGTTACAATGCAAGCTTGAAAAAAAAACAAATCTGTTCACAATTGTTAGTTTAGTTCACCATGCTAAGTTTCATTGGATTATGAAAATGTTGAAACAGTTCTTCAAAACTGAAAGGGAGGGGAGAGGGTGGGATAAGCAAAAAGAGCCTTAAAATCCGTACTTTTTCATAAATCTAGGCTTTTGCCAAACATGATTTTATCTTTAAATGTTCAAAATATTCGATTCAGCCAGCTGTCGGAATAGAATATAGTATCTTACCACGTATCTGTATTCGTCGAATCTCTTTGCTCTGGAGGTGAATCCCTGTCTCTCTGAGTTGTCGATCACCACTGTCTGGAACTGGGAGGGGATGGAGGGACCTTCTGACTCATCTGAAGCGAAAACAAAAAAATATATGTATTTCATTTTCCTACCACCATGTATAAATTGAGCCACAGAAAACTAAGCGCTTCGCTCAACAAAATAACTCAGTCTGGAGTATAAGGAAAAGATGAAAGGCTTTTCTATTTTTCTCTGAGAATCGCAGAAGTCACAACTTTGATTAATTTACACAATCTTTACAGACAAACCTCGGGCAACTTTTTTCCTTCCTTTTTCTCCCTTCATAGATCAACACAAAAATTTTGTCAACAATTTTCGATCAACTGTTGATTTGGGTAGTCAAAATTTATGTCTAATTTTCTTTAAATGACTTGTTAAATTCTAGTTTAAAAAAATAAGTCGGGATGGTTTTGTGTTTTTTTTCTACTCCGATGATAAGTTGTAAGAGGGTTGCAACATGTTTTCACTTCCCGAAACATTAATTTCAAACGCTTAGTTTAAATTCATAATATAAAACGCCCTTTTTCCAGTCCCCCTTTGATTAGGTCTTTTTCCTCCTTGGGTCTTTTCAAAATTTGCAGGGGGGAAGAAAAAGCCGGAGGGTTAATTTTAAAGAGCCACAACTGACCTCTGAAAGACCTTCGAGACCCCGTTGTGTTGAACCTTTTGTGTACCCCTTGCATTAAGCGAATGGAGTCCCCCGTCTCTCCAAACAGGAGGTCTGACTGCCGATGACCCACCATTTGGCCTGGATTAACTAGCTCTGGACTGGATCCCAACCAGATGCCGAATAAATGTAATCTCAATTGGTCTGATAATAAAAATTTAAAATAGATTCAAGGGCAATTTCAAAATCAACAACGATAGCCGATTTCGTTACTTTTAATCATCCATGAAAAGGTCTTTGTTCAATCGCACGTGCTTTTTAAGACACAGTTTCATTTACCAACAAACGTTTAGCTTGCGGTATGTGCTGTTTTGTTAGTACTATCAAACCATCAAACAACCATTTTTGTATACATTAACTGCACATACAATACATTACTGAGTACATTTTTCGTTCTGATCAACTGATCTTCGTATAATATTATTTTGAAAATATTAGCACAGCACCTGCTCTTTTGATTTGGACGCACGTTTTTGTTATTTTGTATATTTGGAAGTAACGACTTGCTAACATATATTCTGGATATTTTCCCTTTAAGGTGAAAAAACGGTTGTAGAAAAATCCAAGATGTCTCGAGCAGCGGGAACCCTGATTACCACTTACCAAGCCACTTACATCCCCCCTCATCACATGCCCGGGTAAGTGATTTAACTTCCAGGGATCTTTTCCAGTTTCCCCCTATTTTTACGAGAAAAAAGATCATTTAAATTCATTCACACTGTTTCCGCTTCCTTTCCATTATAACCACCCCAGCGTAGTAAAAAAATTTTTAAAGTTCTTCCATACTGTGATTTTACATTTATGGAGGGGGTTATTTTTGCTGGGGGAATCTATAATGGGAAAGACCCCTGTTTTCTTTGAAAGTTCGAATCTTGCCTTGTTTTCGTGTCCTCCTCGCAAAATAGCGCAGAAGCAAGAGAAGTTCACAATCACAGTTATCATTGCAAAAAGAGATAATAATCAAGAAAAAACGTCGTCAAAATCTACAGCCAAAAATATCAATTTTTTTTTCACAGCAACTTTCCAGTTTTTGGTTCTTTCAAACCCCCCCCCCCCCCCCCCCTCATCGACTCTCAGTTTCTTTTTTTTTATAATTTTTCTTACAGTTACGGCTCTTTTTCAGTTCCATTTTTCAAATTCAATTTTGAAAGCTGATTTAACGGTGTCATAATGCAATGAAATTTGGTATGATGAACAAACTGACAACTGTGAACAGATTTTTTCTTCTTAATTCCTCACGCATTTAGCCGTAATAACACGCAAAACAAACATAAAAATCTATATTTTGAAAAGCGTGTAGTGGAAAAGAGCCAATGTTACAAAAAAAACCATAAAGAACAAACTTGTTCCCAAAAGTATTTTGTCACTCACGCTCGTCACTCTGAAAAGCAAAAAAATTCAACCTGCGTAAGAAAAATTTTTGAGTTTTTTTCCAAGTTCTTGAATTCAACCAGTATCGAACAAACTTATTATTTTTGGCGAGAAATATTTGACTTCTAATGTAATGACCTGACCAAAATTTTTTTGTTTGAAATGTTCAAATAAAGTAAGTATTTCTTAAATTTTTTCAAAATCTCAGCGCTAATTTTTGATCAACAATAGGCTAAATCTAGGCTGGTCGTTTGCTCGTAAAAATTTCCTTTTGAGGCTTGAACCCCCGATCTTCCGTCAGAAATTTATTTTAACCACTAGTTGACATGGCCTAAAGATACAATAGTCTTAGCTGTAAACATAGCTTACAACTATTGTGTCATGTATGAAGAACAAATCTGATCACAGTTGTCGATTTGTTCACCACGCCAAATTTCATTTTTTTGAAAGCTGATTTTTTTCCCACCTTTGTGTACAGTCAAAGCATGTAGAATCAACGTTTATCTTGTTGCAGTTGAGCAGCGAACTTACTTTAGGCTGTTTTCCAGTTTCCCACCCTCTCGTAAAATTACAAAATGAAACCGTTCAAGCCTTTAACCTTATAGACAAATCTTCCTAAAAAAATATAAATGCTCGTGTCAGTACGGAGCCTTGAATGTTTGGCTACCCTTTAAAACTCTGTCGAAGAAAAATAAAAATAAAGAAAATAAGAAAAAGAAACCTTTTGTATTTGTTTTCGCATTTTCTCTTGATTTAAGCTTGACGCTTGTTGTAGAGCTAAGAGTGATATGATTTGCATCTGCTAACGTATTAAAAAGTTTTTCAAAAAATGCTAACATCAGCTGCTCAAATAGTCAGTAGGCTGGCTCACTATGAAGCCTAAATTTTCAAATATCCCGAATTTTTCCCAAATTCTGTTTCATTGTTTTTTCTTCAAATGTTTCATTGAATTTGAACTCATTTGTGTAGTTATAAATGGTAGAGCGACAATTCGTAACAGGCGACAATTCGTAACAAGCGACAACTCGTAGCAACGCATTGGTAAGTAGAATACGCGGCTCTTTTTCCTTTTTCCCCACCTGCAAAATTTTACTAGTGAAATTTTGTTCACATGATCCGAATGATGAAAAAATTGGCATGCGAACTATTTAGGGCATGACAAACATATTTGGTCTTCATGGTTAACCTTGTAAAACCCCTCGTTACACCATAAAATTGGTGCTAATGTGTGGTGGTGGGGGGGGGGGGGGAGGAAAAAGAGCCGAATACGCTTGCTCCGCTTCGCTCCGCTGCGCTTACATCTGGCACGAGAGGAATAGTACGCGTGAATCAGTGTTCCCCGCTTAATATACTGTTACGAATTGTCGTTTGTTACGAATTGTCGCCTCACGGCTACAAAAACAACAAACAATTTATAGATAATACGACAAGGAAAAATCATGAGCAGTAGTCTCTTCTGTTCTAGGAGTTGCACTGATATAAGTTAAAAGATGTGATATAATGACTGTTTTTTGTGTTGTTTTCAGCTACCGCGGACATGTGCCGACGATCAAGTTCGCCTACGGGGACACTTTCGGGAACGAGACTGCCAAGTACTTCCAGGACTACCGCAATGACGCCATGCGCAGCTCCAAGATCATCTACAACAAGGGCGGCAACTTCCCCACCCAGTTCTCACACAATCCAGACTTAGTCAGTACACATTTATTCGTGTCCTTTTGCTAATTTTTCAAAAATAATAATCAATTTTTTTTTATTGCAATGCTTAATTTCGTTTCCAGAGAGGAGTATACAAGCAACTATTTTAACTGTTAACAAAATTCCACCGCAAAGTATTTTGAAAAATACTTAACCTTGCTCAGTAGTTCTTCTAAGCTGCTTTTGAATGAATCTAATGTTATTTTTTCAAAATCAAAATCTACAAATACGTTTGGAAATTTTTTTGAAGTTATATGTAAACAGCAGAATAAAACTGAAAATTTACATGCAGATTTTTCCTACAAAAAAAGGAAAAAATCACAGTGTAGCCCAATTGTGTCTGATCTCTAAATTTCAGTTCGATCAAACAATATTGCTTTTTCGAATCAATTTTTTTAAAAAATTTTTGGTGCTTTTTATTTTCATTATAATTCAGCTATATGCTTTTTTGAATCAAATTTTTTCATTTTTTCATTTTGGGTGTTTTTTATCATAATTCAGCTATACGCTTTTTGTATCAGGTGATCAGCCAGCGGGCGAGGGATCGGGATGCGTTCTTGTTTGAGCCCAAGTACCAGAGATACAATGTGAACTATGACAGAGAACGGGAGATCAAAGGATACTACAATGCCGCCCAGGCTCACAGAGATTTCTACAAAGATTCCACTAGCGAGGTACATACTCTCACTACCCACAATCATTGAATATATACGTCACCATTTGCGGATTTGGGGGCAGTAGCGGATTTAGGTGGGGGGGGGGGGTTCGGTAAAATCAATACTAATTTTGAGGGGGCAGCGCGATTTTTTGCTCGAAATTTTCCAAAAATGTCCTAAAAACGCCTTTTTTCAAAAATGTGCCTGCAGCGCAAGATATTTGGTCAAATTAGGGTTTTTATAGTGGTTTGGGAGTGCTCAGAAAATCATTTTGGTCGACCTAATAAAAAGGTCGACCAAATTTTCAATTTTTTTTTTAAATCCGCCCCCCTTCGTCCTTCGAGAAATTGCTAGATCCGCGCCTGTTTGGGGGATTTATTTGCCACCTAAAGGTTCCCCTTTTGATATTATTGTACGTCATCCATTTTCAGCTGACCAGCCCTAAAAACTTTTCCAAACGCGCCTTGGGCGTCAATATATACTAATTTTGAAAAGCGCGCACCGCAAAATCGCAATTTTTTGGTCAAAATTTTCCAAAAAATGCCTATATCGTTTTTGACCCTGTTTTTCAAAAAATTGCCAGTAATGCAGAAAATTCTTTCAAAAAAAGGATCTTTATAAAGGAGAGCTCAGAAAAATAATTTGTTCGATAATTTTTACAAAATCCGCCCTGCTCGAGAGTATCTTAGATCCGTGCCTGTACAAAACCAATTTTCTTCATTTTGCTTAGTTGATACCAATTTTTTTGGCAATATCAGATCAACTTAACATCATCCCCTTCCCACTCCCTGAAGCATTTTAAGGAAGTGATGTTAAGTTGGTTCTTGTTTGGAATTTTCCTCTAAATCAGAATCCAGTATTTTTAGGGACTGTTAAGCAAAATTCTAATAGTGGTTTGGATGATCCAAAACTTGGCCTTTAAGTAGGAAGGATGGTAAATTTGACCCGCTAAAAACTCCTGAAACATTAGTTGACAAAACTGATTAACTAAAACCGATAATCTAAGTTCCTCTAATTTTAGTTGACAAAACTAGCTGTCTAAAAGAGGTTACATTTTTGACATTTTCCACATCCAAAATTAAACAAAAGCAACTGCCAGAAAATACAAGTTGAAATTGTCCTGTTTATCATATGAGCTTCCCTCACGTTTCTGTAGTTTTTGGACCCTCAAAACTGCAGTATGCTATTGCGTTGCGACAAAAAGTAGACGTCTTAATGTACAAACAAGGGACAAAACTTTTATTAAAGAAACTGATTGTCTAATTTTTAATTTTTTCAATTTCATGCATATCTATGTCTGGACCAAACTTCGTTTGACATGGGAACCAATATGGACCAAATTTTCCTCTGCATATTATGCAGGCACATCTGGAGAAATGCGGATGACATATTTCAAAGTTGAACTAGAATACCCAGATGTTGCAATTGCTTTTTTTGTAATTGTCGACTTATGTTTCTTTGATTTATCTTTTAAACCACAAAAAAGATAATTATTTGGTAAAAACAAACCCATGAATTAAATTAAATGAATTTTAATTCAAAATAATTTTAGTAAATTTAAAAAAATTTTCAGGTGCAGCCGGTGAAACACTTCCAAGTACCGCCCACCGGACCCAAACTGGACTAGGAGCAGAAAACGACTCAGCTGGGAACGACAAGGACGTTCCTCTCACCTCAGAAAAACCAACTTTAAAAGAACGAGAAAATGCAATGATGATATCGGCATCCCGCCCTATGTAACAAATGCAACATTTTAATTCAACTATTGTGTAGAAAAAAATAGTTTTCCCATTGAAAAAGGTCAAAAAATGAAAGACAAAAATTTTTAACAAATCGACAATATGCAAATGAAAACGATGAGTGGTTTTCACCAACTTTTAAGTCTTAATCAGCGGTGGAGTCCCTTGTGATGGAAAAATTGAATGATGGAAAACTAATTTCAGCCAATCAGAGGTGAGAATTCCAAATTCTCGAAAAAAAACAACGAAATCCTTGAAGAAATAGCAAAGTAAGCAAACACAAACAGGCCATTAAAATCAACATATAGGAGACGCTTTGGTATAAGTTAGTATTTCAGTGATATGGGTATCGAAAAATAAGGACAAAACAAAAGAAAAAATATTATCGATATCTGCACAAATTATACAGCAAACTTTGTTGTGCTGCCATAATTCAATCTCTGCTAATTTTGACTTCGAGGTTGAGCAAAAAAATTTTATCGAGTGGGAACGTCTTACAATTTTTTAGAATGAAGAATGTCTATCATTTGGTTCCTCCCATCTTGCAAATACTCACTTTAATCAACTTTTAAATTAATTCTCAATTATTTAGTTTTGCGTGCTTCTACAGTCGAATTTTTTTCTAACTCAGGTGAAATACAACTATTTTGAACGTTATGAGTAAAAAAAGCATTAAAATTTTAACAAATCTGCTCGTATCAGGGCGAAGGCCCGAATGTTCCGACTGCCTTTTAAGGACTATGGAGCAGTAACAACATAGAAAATATAAATTTAAAAAATTGAAATTAATTTTTTTTAATATGGGATTTTTTGTAAAAACATCCCCCTACACTCCATATTAAGTACAAAGTGATAGATTTAGCTTCTATTACCTAACCAAATATGGAATATAAGCTTTTTTGAACCAATTTGGAACAATTTCTAAGACAGATTAAATCTCCGCTTACGCATTAATAGCGCAAAAAATGTCGCGCGTTAATTGTATCAAATTGCCCAAAATGGCAAGCTTTAAGCCCCCATAACTTTTGAAAAACAATTAGAGAGGAAATATCTTTTCAAATTTAAGCTCAAGACAGGGCCAAAATTGCTCTGTTGATTTGAGTTTTAGAAATTCGATTGTGGACTCAGCAGTGTTACGAAATCTGGAAGAAAACTCTAATTTGTTTTTAAGTTTAAATCCTCCTTGATGAAAGAAAACTGGTTTGCCGTAACGCCATCATAAAAAATAATAAAACTGAAAATTTGTATATAAGTAGATTTGCCAATCAAAACCGTTTGTAACTAGTTTTTCCGAGAAGTTCTTATAAAAGGAATTATGATTCGCTGATCATTTTATAAAGCAATAGAATCATTGATGATATTTCATTTCCCACTCTCAATTTTTTCCAGCTAAAAATTTGTGATATGAATTGTTGATCCTGGATGTTCGCTTTTGGTTTATCAACGCAGATAAAGATTGGTTTTTGCAGTGCACATTTTTTGATATTTAGTACAAGATTGTTCGTGAAAAAATTTCACTTTGGTTCAGGATAGTTTTGTCTGTAAAAATTACTCAATTGATTCTAGAAAGGTTCGATTTAAACTCATCCTCTGAATTCTTTTTATATCGTAGTTTTTGCGCTTAATTGGTATAGCTTCAGCAGGAAGCTTTAGTCCTTTCATAGAAATTTCTGCTAATCGTTCTGTTTTGAAGTATAACCTGAATACCATTGATTTTCCTGATTGATCTGCCAAAGATAGATTAGTTATAAAATAAATAAATAGATTTTTTGACTGGGTGGTTACTGTTTTGATAGTAACGTCAAAAATAAAGGAACAAGGATTGTGTCAAGAGGCTCTTTCTCGTCTGCATTAAAAAAATTCAATTTTTAACCGCTCATTGAGTTTAAATAGCAAATGAAGAATTGCGCATAATCAATTGATTTGGAAATTTCATCAGAAAACTCAATTTTTTTTGTTTTGCTCGGATAATATGATGTATGAAAAAGCGTTTTTCTAATTTTTTTTATAGAAATGGTTTTGATTTCAATCCAGATACTATAGTATTTTTTGATGAAGAATGTTTAGATCTTGCTCTGGCTTGAATTGAATGTTTTGAGTATGATTATTCAATCAGGTGATAATCACCCAAATCCGGTTCCACCAATAAACTAATGGTATCAAAAAAACATCAGCGAATCATATTTCTTTTGATAAGAATTCCTCGAAAAAAGTAGTTACAACTGGTTTTGATTGGAAAATGTGCTTTTATACAAACTTTAGGTCTTATAATTTTTTTTGTGATGACGTTACGACGACCCAGTCCTTTTTCATCAAAGACTATTTGAACTAAAAAAAAAAACAAAAAAGAATTTTCTTCCAGATTTCTACTAAGAGCATATCATTCTAATAAATTTTAAATACCAACAACCTATTTAATGAAACCATACAAACTAGTACCGATAAAAGTCTTGCACATTGCGTTTTACGTTAGGAGCATAACCTCACCACTTTTTGATTTTTTGCTGGCTTCCATAGATTTATCGCATCGAAATGCAATGTTTTTGGTACTATCAAGAGTCCACAGAAATTGCTCATTTGGCTCCTTCATCCAATTTTCCGAGGAGACAACATCTGTGTTTTCGCCAATAGTTTATACAAGTGTTTTCAGGTCTGAGCGTTTCCTTGATGAGATTCTGCAATTCAAATGTTGGACTTTGATGTTTGTTTGTAGTGCCCCAATTTTTTGTGATGTTCCTATAGTTTATTGGTGGAACCGCATTTGGGTGATTAACACCTGATTGAACAATCATATTTTCTTTCGAAAGAAAAAGACGCTGTAGATTTCAGTTGATGTTGGGTTTAAAACTTTATAGACTTATCTAAACATTAGGGTAAAAAAAATACTTACAAATGGCGCGCCTGAGAAAAACTAGTATACAAATGAAAAAAACATGAGACGCACGAAAATCTTTTTTATTGGAAAAATTGGTGGCAGACCATGGAATATAAGATTCCTCACATTTTTTATTCAACGTATGGTAAATTAGGAATTGTTCAGCTTCACAAAACAATCTGATAGAATGCCTGTTAAGACTAAGAGCATATTTTTTCTAATTAACTTTGAATATCAAACCTATTTTAGAAAAAACAACCCAACTAGTATCGATAATAGTCTTGCTCATTATGATATGGTGATTTGTTTCGACCGCTAAAGTTTTGATGACATGTACGGGGCAGAGAGTACAAGTGGTTGCGATTAGTGGATTTAGAGTTTTTGGTCCTAGCTGATTGTTCGAGTAATGGCATACCATTGAAAAAAGACAAGTGCGCAAAAAGGGTACAACATGATCATCATTCAGATTAATACTTTCACAACATAGATAGCTCCAGATGGTGATAATTATAATCATTCCAATGAGTTTAAGCACTTGAAAACCTGGTTTACTACTCTAGGTATCGTTCAAATAGTCATTATATTTTTAAACCTTAGTGTTTGACTCCTCATTGTTTATGATTGGAGGTAACTCGCACACTACAATCATTTCAGGCGTAAACTGATAAGTAATATCCTCAATAAATGTTTGGTGTTTGTTTGCAAACTCTTTTACATTATCATACTTTGACTTCAGATTGAAAAGAGTGCCATCTTGAACCATGACCGTGTGACATTCGACCAGAATGGCCAAAATGCAATTTATGCAGACTTCGAATTTTTAGCAGTAAGCCTTCCGGATTGGTGGTTATTAAGAATAAAGAACGTTATTGGAACGATTGGCCAAACGGTGAGGGCTAGAATATTCTGGTATTTTAAAATTTCAAAATTCGAATTATGACGTCATATTTCTGAGAAACGTCAGAAACGGCCATTTTGGCAAAGAAGTAAAAGAAAAACACAAGAACAACATTAGCTGCGCTAGCAACAACAACGAAATTGAGATCGGAAAACAACAACGAGTTACAGAGCAACAGAAGAACACTCCGAGTTGCAACTATTGTGCTGCTACAATAGTTGCAAGGCCGTTGCGAACAACGGTGAAGGGTGAGAGACGGCCTTCCGGATTAAGAGAAAATCAGGATTAGCGAGCTTGATCCAGCGGATTCATCAATCCGGAAGGGTAAAGGAACTGAAACTTTTATCCTGTTGCATAAACTTTTAGCTTCCTGTAATGTCCTGACTTGAATTTAATTAATATCTGGATTCATTTTGATAGGGATGAGAAGCTAGGAGTTGGGGGAAAGGGTTGATCCATCTTCGATGGAGATGATGATTTTTATCTACTGAACAAAAACAATAGTAATATAATAAGTAGTAGCCCTGTTTTTAGGAGTGATCTCGTGGTCTGGGGATACTGAGACCCAGCCATGAGCTCACTATTTCTGCATGTAATCTAGTTAATTTGAGTGTTTTGACCGAAGCCGAAGGCAGTAACGTTTTTGTCGACCCGATGTTAGAAAAGACCACTGAAAAGCTCTGTTTAGACGTTAGCCAGTCGTCTTAAGACTTAGTTTTGTTTTCCGTCGATATGTATCTTCCGGGCAAATGTTACATGTATGTTTTTATGGCGCTCCTGGGTGTTATTCTTTTTTAACATCATGACCGGCAGAACCGTTAACGAGCACTCCGCGCCGAGCGGATGCTCACATTAACGCCCTTAATAGGCCTAAACCGCCGGGGCGGAAGGGTAGTTCGGAACGCGGAAGCCTTCCTGATTACCGTGAATAGTTTTTTAACCTAGTTAAGACCGAAAATTCACGAACCAGGAAGGGTGGGGGGAATCGCGAACCCCTCATCCCCTGAGTGGTTTGTGACCAAAAACACTTAAAGATATAAGTAAAACCAAACAAAAAGTAGTATAGTACCCAAGAAAAACAAAAAACAAAAAAAATTGCCGAAAAAACCAAAAACAGTAAAAAAGTAGA